TTTAGAATTAATGTAAATACATTAATATTTGTCACCTCAATGGACAATCCCCCCAAAATTTGCCTGTGGTTTAGCCAAATTAAGTATTTTAATGTTAGCCTCTATAATTTATACTTTTATTATTATGTTCTGAACCCTTAAGAAAAAATATGCCTATTGACCTAGAAATAATTGTAACATAGGTAACCCACCCTACTGTGAGTTTGAAGGTGGGCATTGTGTATACATATCCTATCTTTTGTGTTTCCAGAACTTTGCTCATTGCCTTACGATATTAGCTATGTGGCAAAAAAATGTTAAGTATGAAATTGTGGTATAACCGAGCAGATGGGCCCTGTCCGTGTGGTGCCTTGGTGAATGACCTGACATTCAGTATTGTAAGGAACAGCATTTTATTTACAGTATCCCAACCTTGGCTGTGGTGGGAGCACTTCAGCTTGAGCCCTCCTTTCCCAAAAGACCCAGCACTTCCCTTGTGCCCCAAAAGGCTATGAGCCAAAAGCAAGCCCAGAAGTTCCCCACTTCCTTAAGCCAGCTGCACAGTCTCACAGCGGCTCTCTTTTTCAGGATCTGGGGTGCATAGTCATCAGATTCCATGATAATCCAGGAATGCATGTGCTGTGGGCAACTGGATCACGGTGAAGTTTAGGAAAGCCATTAAGTCCCAAGTGTCTAGGTACAGTCTGGATTTTCAAGGCAGTCGGTCAGCATCTTGCAAGGCAGGATCCTTGATGGTTTCGGAGTCTGCCATCAGGCACAATCAGAGCAGCAACATGCCATCCCTTCCCTTGTTATACCAGGCCATATGGCCCAATAATCCCTGCAAACTACACAGCTGCTACTTCACTACTGGCAGCATGGCCCTTATATACCCTTTGAAACCACATGCTGAATTCCCTCATGGCTGCCTACCCTGAGCTTAATCCTGACCCTGAGCCTCCTGTGTGACCCCATCTTTGACTCCTCCCACAATGAGCTACATTTGCCAGTTCTGTATTGTTTACATTTATTTGGCTGCCATCCCCGGTAAGGGGAAGAGTGACTCAGTGATCTAAGTGGACCATCTCCCTGGCTATACCATGAGTCAGGATATATCCTAAAAGTCACATCCACCTTGTCCAGAGATCGTACACAGCTGTCATCTTGCCTTTGTTATGAAAAATATCTTAAGTCTATCACTGCTCCCCCCATTTCCCAACCAAGGGCTATGAGGGCTTTGGCGACCCCTCAGTCTACACTACTTTTCAGTGGTATCTCATTTTGCCCCATTCTGAGATACATGTGATCTGGCCAAAGTAATGCCTGCTTTAGTCTGGTAGGGTATGGGAATGTTTCACACAAAATAGACAGCAATTTGAATATTTCACCTAAAGTATCATGGTGTGCTTGAATGTGATATTGTTACATTACAGAATTACATACTTAAGATTTTATAATAAGAAGGGGGCATTATTTGTGCCGGACCCTGTATAAAATCATCTCTGTTTACAAATGAGAAAACATACTAAGGTTAAGAAAGTTGAAGTTTACTCAGCTATTAAGTCACAGAGGGGCAAACGGTTTGAACCAAGGTTCATGTGATTTCCAAGTCCATGCTCTTTAAATTTTATTTTCTTACTCTTATAATAAGTTCTTAATAGTCAAAGTAAAGAGGAGTGATAATATTCTATACCTCATGGTGTTGTGATGATTAAATAAGTTAATATTATAAAATACTTAGAAAAGAGGCTGGCAGATACTAAAGACAGAGTAAACACTAGCTGTTATTGTTACCTAAAAATACCTATCAGGAAATTTGAAATGACTTCTAATACTATCCATAATTATTATATATAGAATAGTTGAGTAGAATCACTCATCCCTTTCTGTTCTCAATATCTTAAAACTTTATGGCCTAAATGTGTGTTTTCCACTAATATTTCTCTGTTACTAATATATTGTCTTTTTTCCCTTTATTTTTCATATTTTATCAAATTATATGGTTGGAAGTAAAGTTGTTTTTACTGAATATTTCAGGTGATGTACATTTCTGAGTCCTGGTTTTTGTTCACCAATTTGCAATTTAAACTAAACCCCATCTAAGCAAGTATTTGTAAATGTATAGCAAAATATGTAAAGATACATATTTTATAGTATATTTACATATATTTTAGTTAAGTAAATGTGTAAACTGTACATATATATAAGATAGTACTGTCCTGCAGTATTTAAAGTTAAAGCATAAGAATTATGTAGAAGTTGAGTGTTTTACATGCTTTTTGTATTTCTGTGACAGGTAGATAAATATGTTTGACTTGCTCTTCAGTAACCTATTATTTCCTTTCATATGTGAGTGAGATGTTTTCATATTCAACATTTTCTTGAAAAATTCACGTAGTGTACTTATAAAGATGTTCTTCAAACTAAATTTGTTAGCTGATTATTTGTTAGACCGTGTCCTGCCAAACTTGATTACCTCATCTTAACCAGCTGTAATACTTTTTGTGTTTTCAGTTAATGATGATATTTTGGTTTTACAAAAACTGGGTGGCAAGTCTTTTCATTTTGTATTTCCTAATCTGTTAACACCTTAGATAACTGTGATTTTGTGTATTTTTCTGACTTTATCTGATTTGTATTTTTTATCCATATCATCAGAGTTTTACCACTTTTCCTTTATTACATTGTTTTCTTGTAGTCAGTGTATATGTTGTTTAATATATTCAACTCATTTGTGTTTCTTTGTTTCAAACATGTCATTCTTCCTTTCTAAGCAATGCCAGTGCTTCCATATGTATTATAAGTCATATCAAATTATTTAACTCACTTTTATAACTATTTTGCAGGTAGTTAATAGTTTTATCAACTCAATAAAATTACATATCATTTTTTCTTTTAGTCTAGGATTTATGATCTCTGTTTTGCAATTATTGTTAGTCTTAATTTTGAAACTTTTTGTGTGAGTCAGGGCATTAGTTTCATGTTTTGCTTTATCAGCAATTTGGCTAGTGTTTGTGAGATGACTTTCTGGAACTCTTGGCCAATTCATGAAAACTATTTTACATTTAAATCTATTTGTTTATTTTCAGTTAAGATACTAGTTTACTAGGGTGTTTTTCTAAAGTGTATCATTAATTTCACATTCATCCTGGTATGGTTCATCAAATTTTTCTTTGCCAGGGAAGTAAATGTTATAAATTATCCCAAATCAAATAGTCATTAGTTTACTTTTTGTGGTGGCTGTATTTCTTCTATTGAATATATTTGATCATTACTTATCTTAGACTAAAATAGAAAGACTTTAAAAGAGTGCTATAACTTGGAAACCAAAAGTTCACAAAAACCTAGCTTTTCTATTTTAATTTTCTTCATATATACATTACTATTTTTCTCTAAAATTCTAACTTTGCAAACATTTGAGGAACAACAGTATTCTGTGTTCATTTATCAATTACTGGCAGAATTTAAAAGTTGTATCTGTATTTTCAATTTTTGTACCTTTTTTACTCTATATTTTTCTAAACTGTTAAGTAATAGTTCATGTAGAAAATGACCAGTTTACCATGTCTTTTCCAGATTAATCCCCATTTATATTTTATTCCTTTACAAGAACTTTATTTTTATAGGCTTTTTTATTGCTTCTATATTATTAATTGTCAACTTAAAGTTTTTTGAGGATTAGTTTTCTTTCCTTTTATAAAAAAAGGTAAACATTTTAGAATGCTTTTAATATAGAATCAGTATTGTGTGCTTTGAAATTTTAAAATAATCTCATATCATTTGTTCATTATTAGCAGTTTTTAATAAAAATTTACTATGTATTAAGTATGCATCATATATTTAAAATAAGAATTATTTCAGAGGAATGTTTTGTAATTGTTATACTAAGTTGTTATGCTTTGAACTATATAATCAGGTAAAACAATTTGTAGTATTTTTCATGATTAACTCTTTTTAATGTGAAATATTCAGCAGTTTGAACTAGCATGGTGAATTAATCTTGAAATTTTTGCTTATGCATTTTTATGTACATGACAGGATATTTTCTCATTTCTGTGAATTATAAAATTAAACTCGAATTCCTTTTACAAATGTATGTATTACTTTGGAGTAGGCTTGTAATTAATACTGATGTTTTCCTAAATGTTGATCTTTTCCTTTTAATATTTGACTTTCCTAATCACGTGTTCCTTCTTAAAATTGTACATAATTAAACAAACAGTAGAAATATACAAGATGCAAAAGGAATATATTAGAAGTAATTTAGCACTTCCTTGGAACACTGGGGTGGTGCTTGGTTTTAGCTTAGTTAAGATTATGGCTATTCTTTTCCCATAGTTTTTCTCTTTTGTCATAATGTTATGCAATATCTTAGAAACTTTACAACCTCTAATGTTATTAGCCTTGGCCGGTGTGGTTCAGCTAGTGGGAGTGTCCTCCTTGAACCATATGTTGCAGGTTTGATTCCCAGTCAGTGCACATGCCTAGGTTGTGAGTTCTCCCCTGTCCAGTACTAATGAGGGGTAACCAATCGATGTTTCTCTCCTGCATCAATGTTTCTCTCTCTCTCCTTCCTGTCTCTCTAAAAGCATCAGTAAAAGTAGCTCTGGGTGGTGGCCCAGTTCGTTAGGACAGTGACCCACTATGCCAAAGCTGCAGGTTCAATCCCTGGTAAGGGCACATACAAGAAGGAATCAATAACTGCATAAATATAAGTGATACAACAAATTGATGTCTCTCTCTCTCAAAGCAATGGAAAAATTTGTCCTTGGGTGAGGATTTTAAAAAGTGTGTTTAAATAGTATGGTTTCTGCATTTAGGAAGAAAATTGATCTCTTTCATACAAATTGGGAAATTAGTTTATGTAGTAAGTCTGCCTTTGGTTTGGTTTATAGGAAATTTTTTTATTCTAACATTGATCTGGTACATAGAAAATATTTTTCTTAGACTGCTTGTTCACAGTGTCCTCTAAAATTTATTCCTTCTACAGCATAATTTATCACTTTTATTTTTTCACTTAGGATTTTCTGCCGTTTCTTGGCAAAAATGGCAACCAATGATGCTGTTTTGAAGAGACTGGAACAGAAGGGTGCAGAGGCAGATCAAATTATTGAGTATCTTAAGCAGCAAGTTGCTCTTCTTAAGGAAAAAGCAAGTAAGAAACATGTAAATTTTTGAAGGAGATACTTAAAATGAATTCATATATTGCCAAAAAAAGTATTTACTACATAAATTACTTTAAGTTGATAACTTTTAGATTCCTTTAATATTTTAATTTTGAGTGAATATTAGAATAGGGTTAAGATGAAGTAGAATTCATATATAGTGAATGTATGCTAGGTAGAAAAAAATAATGTATTATTTCCAGACTGCTAGGGCAAAAATAGCATTTAAAATAATTTGGTATAGAATTAGAGATTAAAAATGAAGAAAATCGTGTGAAATCAAATACGAACTTCAGTGCCTTCTCTAACCTTGTGTAGAAGAAAAATGTATACTTTTATATTTCTCTCTAGTAAGGCATTTTTGGAAATGATTTTTAATTTTTTTCCAGTACTTTAAGTTTTACTTAGAAATTGCCATGGTATGTATAAGAATATTTCTGCTTTTAGGACTTAGGTTGATTTTTGCTTTGTTTGTTTAAGTATATATTATTTTTTAGTATTAATGTTGAATTAATGGCCAATATTAATGTTCTAATGAAAATTCCAAAATCTTTATCTATTATATGTCAGGACACCTGGCATTCCTGGCCCTAGCCCAGTAAATGCCAGTAATGACTCCCATTATATGTTACAGCCAAAAAATATTCCCTCCGGTTTTCGAAATCCCACTTAGAGAGCACTGTAACCCCAGTGAGAATCGTTGTTTTTCTTTTATGTTTTTGTATATACCATTGCTCACCTTTTACACACATATTATTATGCGCAAATCTTTGAATTTCATTCATTCAGTGTTTGCTCAGCTCAACTTCTGAGACAGTGTAATAAAAGATTGTTCTGCTACTTTTACAGGTTATGACTTAAAAAACACGAATAGTTTTTTTATTATTTGGTATCATTATTAGATCTCAGACTTTAAAAAAAAATAAATACTCGTATTTTTTGGACCATAAGACGCACCTAGGTTTTAGTGGATGAAAATAGGGGGAAAATTTTTGAAGCAAAAATGTGGTAAAATATTTAATAACATAAATAATACAGTATTTCACTAATATAAATGTAAACAGAACTCAACAGTAGCATTAACAACCATTATTCCTCCCAAATTTGTAGGGGATGGCATCTTATAGTCTGAAAAATACAATAATTTAATAACATCTAATACTCTCTCTCTTTCTTAACAGTTTTATCTGTTATTGACACTTTAAGCCAGATTCTTAAGTTGGCGTAAGCATCTTTACAGAAGCTAAAATGATTCATAAACAAAGCCTTCTATTATTCAGATTTTCCACCTTTTCTCTCTTTCAAATATCATAGTGTTTTAATAATACTAAACTCTGATGTAAAGGAACTGGCCAAACACTTGGTTATCAGTATTACCCTAACTCTGTTTGTCCTGCCTATGCTCTCTTTTCAAGTAGTGTTCATAAGAAACCTTTTAGAAAACACAGCTATATTTGATTTTCTTCATCTTAGTTTTGCAGGCAACTTTGAGAGAAGAGAAGAAACTTCGAGTCGAAAATGCTAAATTGAAGAAAGAAATTGAAGAATTGAAACAAGAGCTAATTCAGGCCGAAATTAAAAATGGAGGTGATTAAATATAGAAATGATACATTTTTATTTATAATAGTAATTATTATTTCTTTTATCATTTATTAACTTAGGTATTATCCTTGGTTTCTCATTTTACTCTCATAGCATCCCTTCTTGTGTATAAGGAAAATGGAAATACAGAAAAGGCATATGATCTTGTATAAATTATGAAAAAAATGTGAAAAAGTAGCAAAGCTAGGGTTCAAAACCTGTGCTTTTAATCCCTGTACTATGCTTCAACTTGATCATCACTGTTACCTATTGAATAGTTTTTAAAAATAAGCCATAATAATATTTAGTTAGCATTTATTAAGTTTTACTATATTATGAGCACCGTGTTGCCAGGTGTTTCACATAAATTATAAAATTATGTGTACACAGATACCCTTGTTTTGTATATGAGGAAATGGAAGCTTAAACATATAATTTGTATGAAATTGTACATTTTTCAAATTGTCCAAGTCAGTAAATAATTATCATTTTAACTCTTACATTGTAAATAAAAATTAAACTTCTATTGAATTATTTTTAAAGAGGTCTAAATAAATTTAAATTATTATAAATCACTAATAATAAATCACTAATAATAATAATTGTAGTTCTATTACAATTTCAAAGTATCATGTAGAAAACCATTTGATTGTATTATAGAAAATCCTTTCTTGGTGAGTTTACAAGGTCCAGGTATACTTTCTTTTGACCATTATTCCATCAGTGAATTATTTTGAATACTATAGTATGAACTTTACCCTTAGTGAGCTAAATAAAAGTAAGGAAAAATTAATAGTGTATGCTTAAAACTGTCAACTAGAGACAATATCATTTATCGATTGAAAATTTGAGGCTAGTTGATGATTTTCAAGAAGAAGAGATTTGGAATACAGATAAACAGTTAAAATATTAGCAATATAAAACTGCTTTTTATTTCTCTCAGTTCTGGAAGATTGCCCTGAAATGCTAAACTTTTCAACTCTGACCTTATTAAAACAAATCAACAGTTTGATTTAAAGTATTAAATTCTGTCTAATGCTAAAACATAATATAGGCATATATGGAACTTTACATCACTAAAAGAAGCAACAGCCTCCAGGGGAGTTAAAAAAACAATTCCTCAGAAAAGGAGTCTGAATATTGGCCAGAAACAGTCACGTCAAAATCCCTCAAAGGATTTCATTTTTCTTTTTTTTTTTTTTAAATATTTTATTTATTTATTTTTTAGAGAGGGAAGGGAGGGAGATAGAGAGAGAGAAACATCAATGTGCGGTTGCTGGGGGTTATGGCCTGCAACCCAGGATTGTACCCTGGCTGGGAAGTGAACCTGGGACACTGCATTTTTCTGTTTCACTAGGCTATGAGAATGTTTTTAATATTGCTAAAGGAATTGTCTTTACTTCTTTAAAAAGTTGTTTTTTGAAATAGAATTATGAACAAATAATGCTGTCTCTCCATTAGTTTTGTGATATAGAGATGATTATTATTATTATTATTATACCTTCCTGGTTGATTGTTAATATGAAGGAAAACCTGCATGAAAAATACATTATCTTGCCCCCAAACCATGAGAGTATAGAGTCTCTGGAGACAGACTACCTGAGTATAAATCCTGCTTTCTTACTCACTGTGTGCATGATTTTTGACTTCTCTATGACTCAGGATGATTATCTGTTAATGGAGATATTAATAGAATTTGCTGCTTAAGTATGTATGAAAATTACGAGTTAATTCATATAAAGCATTTTGAAAAGTGTCTAGGACATAGTAAATCCATAGTAAATATTAGCTATTATTGTTATCTATAATTTTCTCAGTTTAGTCATTAATGATTAAAGGAGAAACATGTATTCTTTTGTCATGTTTAAAATTTATTTAATTTCTGGGCAGGCTTTTCACAGTCTCAGTAGAGGCTTGATCATCATATACAGTGAATTTCTCTTTTAATCAAAGTTGTGATTCACAGTTTCATGGTTTTCATCTTGTTGGTTTAATATAAATGACATTACCTATTTCATTTTCTATATTAGTGAAACAAATACCATTTCCATCTGGTACTCCACTGCAAGCTAATTCTAAAAACATGACACAGTCTATACCAATCACAACCATATCTTCTGGTGCCAAAGAACAGGTAAAAGGAGAAGGAGGCGAAGAAAAGAAGGTGAAAGAGAAACTTGAAAAGAAAGGTATTGTACTTCAAGCTTATTTGGTTCTTAACTACTTTATCAGATCTCAACATTTTTGATAGATTACTTAGAAGTAGAAAGTTCCATTAGTTAGAAGTAGAAAGTTTTAGCTTTTATGAACTAGAATAAAATTAGAAACAGTGTGATATTAGAACATAGAAGCTGGACCCTAAAGAATGTGTGAAGGTAGACCAGGTTGGACATGGTAAGAGTATGTCATTTGAGGTAGAGGAACCAATATAATTTAAAACACAGAATGTAGAGTTTAAGCGTAGAGGCCCATATGTAGTTTGGTGTGACTGAATTGTATTGTATATTTGGGGGATCATTTCAGAAACATCACAGATAGTTATCTTAGGAACAGCTGTGGAGCTAGGAAAGGGATACTCCAGTCAAAGCAGAATGTCTGAAGTAAGGCATAGGGATGTTAAAGTTTTAGGAACCCATAAGAGCTGAACTAGAAAGCATATTACCATCTACTTAGCCAACCAGACAAGAAATCTTACAGTCAAGCTAAACCTGCCCCACTTCCTCAATTTTCATATCTAATTGTCCACCAAAGCCTGTACTTCCTACCACCAAAACATATCTTGCTCTGTGCCTCGGTTTTGTTAGGTGCTACCTGAGTTTAAGTTCTCAGGATCAGGATCTCTCATCTGAATTAATGCTAAAGCCTCATCTTTTCTAGTTTATTTTTAATTTAACCTTGGTGAGGTCCATACTCAATGGTTATTCCTGACTGCAGGATCCATCAGTCTTCTAGTCCAGTTGTTACAGGGTGCAGCCAAGAGGGGGGACCCCAAATGGGCATTTGAAATGGGGTCCAGAACTTAAGGTGTCCAGGAGATTTTAAGATGTCTTCATCCCCCCCACCCAGGGTGTGGGTTGGGAGAAGGAACAAATGGAGCAGGGCCATTGAGAGCTGTTTTGCATAGCAACAGCCTTGCAGCTAAGCTCTGGTGTGGTCATTTAACATATCTATAGCCTTTGGCTGGTCGCTTAGATATGTTAAATAGCTGTGATCATCTCTGAGCCAGGGGAATGGAAGTAACTTCCCCATCAAGACGTGACTAGGGGCAGATCCCCCGAGCTACAGCGCCTGTGTGGGAGCTCAGAGAATATTGGCTCCAAGACATGGGGCCACACCTGCCCAGACTCATGATGGCAGCCCAGTAAACCTAGAAGGATACAAGTTCTGGCATGTGAAGCTGAGTGTGGGAGGAGTCGGAAATGAGGCTGCAGAGGAAGATTGGCCGCGGGGATTTAAAAGCCAGACTTGACAGCCATTAAGAGAGAGAACCATGCGCAGCCCTGAGAGAAGAGAACCACGCGGCTTTGGCAGAGTGAGGACTCCTGCATCCCAGAGAGAACCATGCTGCTTTAGGAGGGGGAGCCATGCGCAGCCCTGAGAAGGAGAGAACTATGCGTCTTTAACAGAGTGGAGAACCATGCTGCCTTGAGAAGGAGAGCCATGCGCAGCCCTGAGGAGGAGAGAACCATGCGGCTTTAGCAGAATAGGGAGGACCTCAGCCATTGAGGGAAAGAACCATGTGCAGCCCTGAGAAGGAGAGCCATGCGCAGCCCTGAGAGGGAGTACTAACTGGGAAGAACCAGAGGACTGTCTGAGCCATGGTCTTCGTTTTCCTTTCCTGAGATACGGTACTCTGGACTGGGCAAAGGGGGAAGGAAGGAAGGAAGGACTGTGTCTGTTTATGGGTGTTTTAAGGGACTTTAGGATTTTTGATGAAGACATTAGGTCACTACTTGAAGTCTGTATAGCATTAAATAAACATTTCCTTTCCTTTTCACGAATCTCTGGCATTGAGAGATGTCTTTCCTCAGGCGGTGGACATAACGGACCCGGGGCCTTCTTTCAATAATAGTATATTGTCCCAGGCCCCCCTTGTCTGTTCTGTAACACAATGAGACAACAAAGTCCTCCCTTGTGGGACGAGGCAGCACACAAGACCAAATAGCTCTAGGTCTAGAAGACCTCTGGCCAGTGGAACTTTATTTGGTGATGGAAATGCTGTATAGTTGTATTGCCCAACACAATAGTCATGTGTAGCTATTGAACATTTGAAAGTTACTTTAAATTTAAATATAAATAGCTATATATACGGTCTGCAGGTTCTGTATTGAACAGTGATGGAATAGAAGGTTGTTTCATTGGTGTTTGGCTGCTGTGATTGCCAGATTTCAAAATTCTACACAGGCAAGTTCTGTGGTACCCACACAATCTTTCTAGACTGCTGCATATAAACATCACTCATGTCAATGAATATTTCTAAAATCCCTTATGATGACTAACAAAGTTCTTGGTATAGATTTTAATATTTGTAATCACCTCTGGAATGCAGAATCCTGATAAAGGTAGTATTTCAAATTCTGGGATATGAAGTTAAAAAATACATGTGGAGATAAATATACTGTTATACTGCAGTATTACAAAGTACTTAGTTTATCACTCAAAGATAACCACTATTTAGGTTTTTGGTATATTTTCTTCTAGTAATATATATCTATAACATTTGGGTTTTTACCATTAAAAAAATCTTTGTGAATCTGCTACATAGAAAGTGATATTTTTAATAATTTGCTAATAAGATTAAAAACTTAATTATTTTGAACTAGCCCTGTTTCCTGTTTTGTAAACTATTTTTGTATAAATTGTGAATGCCGTTTACACAAAATCTGCATTTCCTATTCCAGACAAAATTATTCTTCTCTGGTTCTGTATTTCCTCGTATACGTAATGTTTATCATATATTCATTAGTACATCTGTCTTCCTTAAAAGAGATTTTCAGTGCCTTGATAGCATGGTCTGCTCATCTTAATAGTTCTTTCTAGTGCCTTAGATCTCAGTAAATATTTGTTCAAAGATTAATCAGAGGTACAGTTGAAAGGAAATGCTTCAAGCCACAATAGTGTGATTCAGAGATAAATAAGTTTTTGTTTTGTTTTTCTTTTTTTTTTTCTGCCAGAGAAACTAAATGTAAACTTAAAGAATATAAATGCTGTACAGGTTGCATTTTCAGTCAGAAGCTAAAATAATGTGCCAATAAGAATTAGATTATCGTCATATAAATAAAAGTAGGATTTAAAAATATAATCAGAATAAAATATTCTCTTCTGCTCAAATAGGTGCCGTGGATAAGCCTAAAGCCCTGATAAGTCTTCAGGGAAATATAAGAAGTGGAGAAATTTATTATGTACTTATCAGTATGTTTAACTGATGCGAGAAACATTTTAGCAGTGAAATTATATTCAATTGTAGTTTATTCCATTAGCTGGCTACAAAGTGTGGCATTCTTTCTAAACGTAGGATTTTTCACTTTGTAAAAAGTCACAGTAAAAATTGTGAAGGATTTTCTGCAGCTCTGTTTCAGGGAAATGTAAACTTTTTCAGTAAGGGTCATTTTGTAGGTATGGAGGCTTTATAGGCCATAAGGCTCTGTGACAACTCTGCGGCTCTGCTGTAGTATAAAGACAGCCATAGACAATATGTAAGTGAACCAAGGACTGTGTTCTAATAAAACTTTGACAGAAACAGTCCTTGTGCTGGACTATGAGGTTAATGAGCTATATAGTTCACCAACCTCTTATCTTTGTCTTTAACTAGAGATAGAGGCCATTACTTAACAGAGAAATAGCTCAAACAGGGTTTAAGATACTGACTTCAGTAAATAGTTCTTTTCTTTACTATTTAAATGAAGGTAGGAGATAAGGCATTTTTTTTCCTTTAATCTCATCAGTATCAGTGCTGTGAAGGTTTTCATATTTTATTTTTGTTTTGCTTCTGATGTTTACCCATATAGAATTCTTTGTTTTTAAAGGAGAGAAAAAGGAGAAAAAACAGCAATCTACAGCAGGAAGTGCTGATTCTAAGCCAATAGATGTTTCCCGTCTGGATCTTCGAATTGGTTGTATTATCACTGCTAAAAAACATCCTGATGCAGACTCTTTGTATGTAGAAGAAGTAGATGTTGGGGAAGCAGCCCCAAGAACCGTTGTCAGTGGCCTGGTGAATCATGTCCCTCTCGATCAGGTAATTTGTACAAATAAAATTACTTCTGCATACACATGACACTTTCATTTCCTCTTTCTTTGATGCTTTATCATATAATTTTGTATTAGATGACTAAACAACATGAGCCACTATTGATTAGTTCAGTTAATTAGTTTGAATGTCTAATTCCACCAGAAAAAGTATATAAAACAATGAAAACTTTGCAAAAGATCTGTACATTAGGATTAGATTCATGAGAATAGAAAGAAGATGTATTTTTTTTTCTCAGTTAAAAAAATGTTTTTCTTTGGTATTTTATATAATCACCATTGCTCATGGAATTTTATTATTCCTTTATTTTTAAAAAATCTCTGTTAGTATAAACCCAGAAAGCACCAAACTAAAAAAGAACAAGTTTTATGTTTTTATAACTAAAATATCTTCATACTTTTCTAAGAAAAAAGAGGAGAGGGAGTCGTGGAAATTAAACTGTAGATTTTAATGATATCCCATTAATTGCTAAAAATTGGATGTTTTTTTATTTTTGTGTTGCTTAGGTATTTAAAAATATAAAGCATTTTTTAAAAGATTTTATTTCTTTATTTTTAGAGAGAAGGGAAGGAAGGGAGAAAGAGAGGGAGAGAAATATCAATGTGCAAGAGATAACATCAATTGCTTGCCTCTCACATCCCCATCTGGGGACCTGGCCTGCAGGCCAGGGAATCAAACCGATTTTGGTTCACAGGCTAACACTCAAGCCACTGAGCCACACCAGCCAGGGGTAGAAAAGTATTTTTTATATGCATATATGTTATGGTATATATATATGTATGGAAATACAGATATATATTCCCAATGATGGTGGAATAAATTAAAGACAGTAATAGTTTTAATTTGTTCTTTCAAGATATCCTTTATAATGATTTAAGTTACCTATTTCCTGTGCCCCATAATACTTCAGAGATATTACAAAGACTGTAGACTTCAACATTAAGATTTCATTGCCAGCTATATTACTTATTGCTTTGTGAACTTGGACAAATCTCTACATTTATTTATTCATATGTCTAGATGCAAATATTTATTGAGCACCTACAGTGCACCAGAACTATTCTGAATAAGGGGTATAACAGTTGAATTCAGGTGATAGATTTTTTTTTTAAGTCCTGCCTTTGTGAAGCTCACATTTCTATGGGGGAGACAGAAAATAGTAACATGTTAACATTGATAAATATCAAGAAAAAATAAAGTAGGGAAGAAACTAGGAAATATTAAGGCTATTATGATGATGACATTTTATATAAAGTAGTTCAGAACGGCCTTATAAAGAAAGTGACATTTAAGTAAAGGTGTGAGAAAATGAAGAAAACAAGTCATGTGTCTCTTTTGGAAGAGCATTTTAGGTAGCTGAGTCAAATGGATGCCTGCGATATTCAAGGAACATCAGAAAGCAGTGTCACTATAGCAGAGCAAATAATGGGAGTACCATGTGAGATGAAATCAGATATATAAGCCAAATAGTATAGGGTTTTATAGATCATTGTAAAGATTTTGGCTTTGATTCTAAGTGAGATGAGAACCCTTGGAGGGTTTTGAGCTAAGGAATAACTTGGTCTGCCTTGTATTACATCTAGCTGCTCTATTGAATGGATGAGTGAAGAAGTTTCTCTTACCTATGAAAAAATATAGAGATAGGGCATATGTGTGTGCCTTTTTTTTTTTTGAAATGTCCTCTTACATAGGACCAGGACTCCTTCGTAACTACTTATGAAGGTAAGTTCATGAGGAGCCTTGGAAAAAAGAACCAGGTGATCTTAAATTGGTAAAATTAGTTTGGGCTTCATCTTTTTTGTTCTCAACAGGTTGCAGACTATTTTCTATTCCAAAAGCTGTCATACACAGCCATAAGCAATTTTCTTTATGTATATCTGTATCTAACCCATCAAGGCAGTCCTAGTAAGCATTCTATAAAGCCAGGACACTTAACAGCCTCCCATAATTACATACAGAATATTGTAGATTTGTGTATTTTTCAGAGGTAAAGGTCTACAGATGATCATCTAATCCTTAGAACATTGCATTTAGCTAATCTTACACATAATTGCAGTGACATTTCTTTAAATTCTCATATATGTGGTATTTTCAAATTATTTGTTGAGGAAGAGTTGTTGTTCATGAAGACCTTCAAAAAGGGGGCCTTTTAAATTTGAAACTTAGGCCTATTTTTTAAAATTAAAAATATTATATAATATTTAGTTTCAGGCGTACAATATTGTGATTCTACATTTATATACTTTGCCACGTGATCACCATGATAAATCTAGTAACTGTCTGTCATCCTACAATGTGATTGCGATAGTATTGACTCTTCCCTGTGCTATATGTTCCATCCTCATGACTTACTAACTTATAACTAGAAGTTTGTACCTCTTATTCCCTTTCACCTTATTCGCGCATCTCTCTGTGCTCCTCCCCTTGGCAACCATCAGTGTGTTCTTCCTATCTATGAGTCTGTTGCTGGTTTGGTTAATTTTTTATATTTTACATATAAGTGAAATCATATGTTATTTGTCTTTGTCTGACTTATTTTACTTGGCATAATACCCTCTAGGTTTAGCCGTATTGTCACAAATGTCAATACTGCAGTTTTTTATTGCTGAATAATATTCTGTTGTACGTAAATACCACATCTTCTTGATCTGTTCATCAATCATTACACACCTAGGTTTCTTCCACATCTTGGCTATCGTAAATAATGCTGTAATGAACATGGGGGGTGCATGTATATGTCCTAGTTTATGTTTTTGGTATTGTTTTCTTCAGATAAATACCCAGAATTAGAATTGCTGGATTATATGATAGCTCTATTTTTAATTTTTTGAGGAACCTCCGTACTGTTTTCCACAGTGGTTACACCATTTTATACTCCTAGCAATAGTGTCTGAGGGGTCCCTTTTGTCTACATTCTTGCCAACACTTGTTATCTGTTAACTTTTTGATAATAGCCATTCTGACAGGTATGAGGTGATACATGATTTTGATTTGCATCTCTCTGGTGGTTAGCGATGTTGAGTATGTTTTCATATTTTACCATCTTTATATCTGTTTTGGAAAAACTTCTATTCAGATAATATACCCATTTTTAATTGAATTGTTTGGCTTCTTTGTGTGTGTTAAGTTGTATGAGTTCTTTATATATTTTGGATATTAGTCCTCTATCAGAAAATGCTATTGCAAATATCTCTTATGATTTGTTAAGTTTCTTTCCATTTTGTTGATGGTTTCCTTTGCTGTACAAAACACATTTAGTTTGTAGTTCCACTTCTTTATTTTTGTTTTTATTGCCCTTTTCCCAGGGAGACATATCTAATAAAATATTGCTGAGAGTGATGTCAAAGTGTTTGCTGTATGTATTTTCTTCCGAGAGTTTGTGGTTTCAGGTGTTAACATTTAAGTCTTTAATCCATTTTGACTATTTTAATGTATGGTTCAAGAAAGTGTTCCAGGTTCACTTTTTTTTTCACATATTTAGCTAGTTTTTCCAACATTATGTATTTGTATCTTTCAGCTTTAATGAATTTATTAGTTTTAAATTCTGTCTGTCAGTCTTTAAGGTTTTATGTATATAGTATCATGTCATCTGCAAATGGTGATGGCTTTACTTCTATCTCTCCTATTAGGATGCCTTTTATTTGTATTTCTTGTCTAATTGCTGTGGCTACAACTTCCAGTAACTATATTGAATAAAAGGGCTGAGAATGGGCATCTTGTCCTTTTAATGATCTTAGGGGAAACGCTTTCAACTTATCAATGTAGAATTATGATGTTAGCTATGGATTTGTCACGTCTAGGCTTTATTATGTTAAGGTATGTTTCCTATACATCCGCTTTGGTGAGAGTTTTCATCATGAATGGATATTGGAATTTTGTCAAATGCTTTATTGGTCTCTGTTGAGAACATCATATGATTTTTGCTTTTGATTTTACTTAAGTGATGAATAACATTGATTGTTTTGCAGATATTGAACCACCTTTGCATCTCCAAAATGAATCTTATTTGAGCATGGTGTATGATCCTTTCAATGTACGATTGAATTTGTTTATCTAGAATTTGGTTTTGTTGAGAATATTTGTATCTGTGTTTGTCAGGGAAATTAGCTATAATTTCCTTTATTGTAGAGTCATTTTCTGGGTTTAGTATCAGGATAATGCTGGTCTAGTAGTATGAGTTTGGAAGCATTCCTTCCTTTTGAAATTTTTTGGAATAGTTTGAATAGGACAGGTATTAATTCCTCTTTGAATGTCTGGTAGAGTTCACCTGTGAAGCCATTCAGGACCTGGATGTTTTGGGGGGAGTTATTTTTTATTACTGGTTTAGTCTTAGAAGTTTCTACATTTGTAGAAGTTTATACATTTGTTCTAGGTTCAATTTGTTGATCTGTAATTGTTCATAGTATTCTTTCATGATTCTTTGTATTTCTATTTTCTCTGTTGTCACTTTACTTTCATTTATCATTCTATTTGTTTGGACCCTCTCTCTTTTTTTCATTATGAGTTTAGCTAAAGGTATATCATTTTTATTTATATTTTTAAAGGACCAGCTCTTAGTTTCGTTGATCTTTTCCATTCCCTATTTTGTCAATTTCTGTTCTTATCTTTATTGTTATATTCCTTCTACTAACTTTGGGTTTTGTTTGTTCCTTTTCTAGTTCCTCAAGTGTAGGTTTAGATTGTCTATTGTGAATTTTTCTTGTTCTTTGAGGTAGGCCTGAATTTTTCTGAGCTTCCTTCTTAGAACTGATTTTGCTGCATCCCATAGATTTGGGAGAGTTTAATTTCAATTTTATTTGTCTCAAGAATTTTTAATTTCCTCTTTAGTTTTTTATTTGACTGGTTGTTTAGGAGCATGTTGTTTTATCTCCATGTGTTTGTGGTGTTTTGTCCATTTTTCTTCTTGTAGTTGATTTTTAGTTTCACATCATTGTGGTTAGAAAAGATACTTGATAGGATATCAATCTTGAATTTTTTGAGACTTGATTTGTGGCCTAACATGTGATCTATTCTGGAAAATGTTCCAAAGGCACTTGAAAAGAATGTGTATTCTTCAGTTTTTTGGATGAAATGTTCTGTAAACTTTAAGTTCATCTGATTTAATATGTCATTTAAGGCTAATGTTTTCCTATTTTCAGTCTAGATGATCTATCTACTCATTTAAGTAAGGTATTGGAGTTTACTACTATTATGCAATGCTGTCAATTTCTTCTGTTATGCCTGTTGATTTTTTAAAATATATGTTATATATTATGCTGTGACAGCTGTCCCAACATTTTCCCCATTGCCCCCCTCCACCCCGCATATACCCCATTCCCTCCAGTAATACCCCGTTTAGTTCAGGTCCATGGGTCATGCATATAAGTTCTTTGGCTACTCCATTTTCTGTGCTATTCTTAACATCCCTCTGCCCATTTTGTACCTGCTAATTTGTGCTTCTTAATCCCTGCACCTTTTTCCCCATTCTCCCCCTTCCCCATCCCAAATGATAACCATCCAGATGATCTCTATACCTATGATTCTTTTTCTGTTCTGCTTTTTTGCTGTTTGTTTTTTTAGATTGAGTTGTAGATAGTTGTGAATTTATTGCCATTAATGTTCATAGTTTTCATCTTTTTTTTAAAAAATAAGTCCCTTTTATATTTCATTTAATAATGGTTTGGTGATGGTGAACTAACTCCTTTAGCTTACCCTGTCTGGGAAGTACTTTATCTGCCCTTCCATTCTAAATGATAGATTTGCTGGATAGAGTAATCTAGGTTGTAGGTCCTTGCTTTTCATCACTTTGAATACTTCTTGCCAGTTCCTCTTCACCTGTAAAGTTTCTTTTGAGAAATCAGCTGACAGTCTTATGGGAACTCCTTTGTAGGTAATTCTGCTTTTTCTCTTCTTGCTTTTAAGATTCTCTATTTTTAACCTTTGGCATTTTAGTTATGATGTGCCTTGGTGTGGTCCTCCTTGAGTCCATCTTGTTTAGGACTTCTGTGCTTCCTGGACTTGTATGTCTATTTCCTTTACCAAATTAGGGTAGTTTTCTTTCATTATTTTTTTCAAATAAGTTTTCAAATCTTGCACTTTCTTTTCTCCTTCTGGCACCCCTATGATGCGAATATTGGATTTCTTGAAGTTGTCCTAGAGGCTCTTTAGCCTGTCCTCACTTTTTTGGATTCTTTTTTCTTCTTAATCTGATTGGCTGTTTTTTGCTTCTTTATGTTCCAAATCATTGATTTGATTCTTGGTTTCCTCCACTCCACTGTTAGTTCCTTGTAGATTTTTCTTTATTTCACGTAGTGTAAACTTGATTTCTGCCTGTGTCTTTTTTATGTTTTTGAAGTACCCAATGAGTTCCTAATAACTGTTGTTTTGAACCCTTCATTTGATAGTTTGCTTATCTCCATTTTGTTTTTTTCTTTTTCTGTAGTTTTGATCTGTTGCTTTGTTTCAGCCATATTTCTGTTGTCTCCTCATTTTGGTAGCCTCCCTGTATTTGTTTCTATGTATTAGGTAGAGCTGCTTTGACTAGGTGTCTTGATGGCACGGCCTAATGTAGAAAAGCACACACATAAGTTTGATAGGGTGGAGCCTCAGGTAATCACCTGGGCAGAGCCACCTATATGAAGCGTGTTGATGAAGTCTCAGATATGGTATAACTGCTCTGTGGTTCTGTGTGGGAGAGTGCTCAGAAAAGGGACAATGACCGCTGACAGTCCTCTGTACTTTTGTCTAGGAAGAAGCCATCCCCCACTGGAAGTTATGGGGATTATCTTTTTGGCACTGGAACCCTAGGCATGGGAGCCTGGTGTGGGTCTGGGATCCCTTTCTCCTGAGATATCCCTCCTGATTTTTATCTACCAGATGTGGGTGTGGGACCACCTGTTCCATGTCTGTGCACCCCCCCACTTGTTTGAATGAATGTGATTTCTTTAATCCTTGGCTGTCTGACTTTCATGCACCTTGATTTTTCTGAGGATTCTGGGTGATGGTTGTTTTGTAGTTTAGTTGTAATTTTTGCTGTGGTTATGGGAGGAGGCAAGCCGTGTTTACTTACAACTTCATCTTGACTGGCAGCCTCTATGCCCGTTAATATTTGCTTAAGATATTTAGGTGCTCTTATGTTGGGTATGTAAATATTTACAAATGTTATATCCACCTCTTATATTAACTCCATTATCATTATGTTATGCCATTCTTTGTCTTTTTTTTTTACAGTGTATTTTCTCTGATAGGAATATTGGTACCCCAGGTTTTTTTTTTTTTCATCTCTTTTTCTGATGGTCTGTGTTTCTCTTGAGCTGAGGTGAATCTGTTATGGATAGTATACTAATGGGTCTTGTTCTTTATTTCATTTAGCCACCCTGTGTCTTTTTATTGAGGCATTTAATTCATTTATATTTTAAGTAATTATTGATAGGCATGTACTTATTTCCATCTTATTCATTGTTTTTTGGTTGTTTTTGTACTTCTCTGTTCTTCTCTTGGTTTCTTCCCTTGTGATTTGCTGGTTTTCTTTAGTATTATATTTGGATTTCTTTCTCCCTATTTTTAGTGTATCTTTTGTATATTTGGTTAGTTGTTACCCATAGATAGCAATCTATAGCAGTCTATTTTAAGTTGATAGGCAGTTCAGTTCAAGGCATTCTAAAAAAAACCCTCTATTTTAGGTTTAAGGCAGTCTAAAAATTCTGTTTTTACTGCCCTCTCCACACTGTTTTTGACTTAGATCTTTTTGTTTTATTAGGATGATTTTTTTTTTTTTTTTTTTTTTGCTTGCCTGGGAAACGTTTTATCTTTCAATTCTGAATGATAACATTTTATGGTAGAGTATTCTAGGTTGTAGATTTCTTCCTTCCAGCACTCCACTCCCTTCTGGCCTGCAAAGTTTCTGTGGAGAAATCTGCTTATAGCCTTATGGTGTTTTCTTTGTATGTGACTACTTTTCCTCTTGCTGCTTTCAAGACTCTATTTTTAACTTTAGCCAGTTTAATTGTAATATGTTTTTGTGTGGGTCTTTCAACTTGTTTGGAACTCTGTGGGCGTGGATATCTATTTCCTACCCTGGACTAGCAAAGGTTTTCAGCCATTATTTTTACAAATCAGTTCTCTGACCTTTTTTTTCTCCTCTCTTTCTGGAATCCCCATAATGAAAATGTTAGTGTGTTTTTGATATTTACTCAGAGATCCCTTAAACTATCTTGTTTTTTCTTTAGTCAGTCATTGTAGAATTGAGACTTTTTTCATCTTCCTATAAGGCTTTATAACAGCAGTAAAAAATTTGAGATACAAAGTGATAATGATACATCTTCAAAAATAGAACATTTGATACATAGCATATTAGATGTACCTTGATATACTCTTGATCACTCCAAATTCTATACATCTTAATCACCTGTTTTTCACACAGATGCAGAATCGTATGGTGATTTTACTTTGTAATCTAAAACCTGCAAAGATGAGGGGAGTACTATCTCAAGCGATGGTGATGTGTGCTAGTTCACCAGAGAAAGTTGAAATCTTGGCACCTCCTAATGGGTCTGTTCCTGGAGACAGAATTACTTTTGATGCTTTTCCTGGTAAGTATTTATTAGTTTTGTTTAAAATTGTGTGGGAATTATTGTTCACAAAGTGATGCTTGTAGTGTTTAAGTATAAACTCAATCCTGTGTATGATTCACAGTCCCTTACATTAAGTGACCATGATTTTTGAGATTATTGCTATCAGCTCAAAATGGCATATTAAGCTCAAACATCTAAACATCCCCTTTCCCATGAATGTACAAATTACATAAAACACCAGAGATAGTTTTTGCTTTAGATAAAATACTAAATGTAATCCCTAGACACCAAAAGAGTATGATATGGGTATAAAAGAAACTAATGTGCTGCAAAATCATTTAAGTTATAGATTATCTCAGAATGCAACACAGAAATATGAAGAAAAATTCAGACATGGGAGAATAGCATATAATCCTCAAAGTTCACCTAATAGTATGTTTACATATGCTCTTACTTGACTTTAGGACATAGAGAAAATTTCTAAGTTAAAATTCGTATTTATTTTAATAATTTAAAGGTAGTTTTGCCCTGGATGGTGAGGCTCTGTGGATTGAATGCCAGCCTGTGAACCAAAGGGTTGCTGGTTCGATTCCCAGGCGAGGCACATGCCTGGGTTGTGGGCCAGGTCCCCAGTAGGGGGCACGTGAGAGGCAACCACACATTGATGTTTCCCTCCCTCTCTCTAAAATTAAATAAATAAAATCTTTAAAAGTCGGGGGAGAGTTTCATTTCATATTGCTTGTTTTGTCCAGTAAAATGCTCCTGAGACAGACCAAGCTTTATAATGCATGAAAAAGTTTCTTGAAATAGGTCTTGGAAGCAGAAAAGATGCTTGGTAGATGTAGAATAAATTTTTCTTTCATTGAAGAGGGAGGACCTACCTTATAGGAGAACAGTTATAAATTAACAGACTATATTTTATTTAAAGTATATTTACTTGACTAGAATAATGGGAAAATCAGAAATAAGGTTAACAAGCAGAATGAGGTTTAAAAATCAGAATTGACTTGGAAACATGTTTGTAGAAAGAGCTGAGTTTTAATGTAATAGCCAGGCTGATGTAATTATGTAGGCCTGTTTTATTAATCCTATGTTAATTATGTTTCATGAAATAGTAGGATATTAAGAATTTTAACATTGGAAACAACATAGAAAATGTGGATGAAAGCATAGGTTAATTTCCTTGAAACTAAGCTCTCCCCAAATAAAAACTAGAGTAATCTAAAAAAAATACAAGGTTTGTTTAACAAGTATTTGTGACTTTGAATGCCTGTGTATGTCTTGAACCTTGGCAGATTTGAAACCATAATGGTCTGTGCTTTTTTGGTAAATTGGATTTTGGGAAAATCCCAGTCTAAATAATTTCTCAAAGGAGCATGATGATTTTAGATTCTAGTAGCATATGATCACCACTCTTTTATCACAGTATCAAGCACTTCCCTAAAACTCAGATTTGGGAGTAGGTGCAATCATGTATGTACCTGACACCTGAAATTCTATTTAGAAGTCTCATTCACTAAATTGGAATAGAAAACAATAAAGGTGAGCTTTTCCTTTAATATTCATCATGCAGTGGGGAAAAAAAATAAATAAATACTGGTTTACCTTTCCAGATTAACATTTGACTTCTTTTTTATTTAAATACTTAAGATTTAGTACATTTTTTAAGTTTTTGATGTAAATTGTAGTGTATCATGTTTAGAAATGGAATAAGTAGTCTACTTTAACCCACTATTTTATAGATTTATAAACTGAGGCCTGACACAATTTAGGTACTTGTTTAAGGATATGTAGAGTAAGTAGAAGGATTAAAGAGTACATTTTGTTTGTTGATGTTGCTTGCGGTGAATGAAATAGTCTGTATTAATTAATGAAAGTATATAGTTCTTTTATTCTATGACAGCTTTCATTCCCTTACCTTATAGAATTAGCAGGTAAATATTTCAGCAGTTAAGTCACTTGTTATTATCTGGATGTTTCTGTTAAGTAAATTGACAGAAAATTTTACTTAGTGATTTAGCATTAGATGATAATAGCTCTATATGGATTTTTTGCCTTTACCATATTCTTTAGTCCCTGAGTTTGGCTTTCTGTGTGTTTATATTTACATTTTTCCAAAGACTGATATTTCTTCTAAGTGTATAGTTTCCCCTTGTGCCTTAGTACTTGAATATGTAGAGACAGTACCAAAAAATTTCTTTTTCAAGTGAAAGAAGGGAAAACCTAACTTTAAAATGGCCCATGAGGTTGCTTGAATTATTTTCTATTATTATTATTATTTTATTGTTTAAGCTATTACAATTCCCACTTTTCTCCCACTTCTCTCCCTCCCCCAGCCTCACCCTTGAACTATTGTTTTATCATTTATAATAGGCTTACCCAAGCCAAACAGCATTAAATAACTGATAAATTTTGAGACATGAGGTCTGTTAATATTTATCTTCCTCATGGCTCCACATCAGTTACTGCTTCTGTAGCAGTTAATCTGAAAGGAAATCACAGTTAATTCTACACAACACACCATTAGTTTTATTTTTTTTCTTTTTCCAGAGAGAGCCATGATTCATCAGTGCATCTGTTTGCATTTTAAAGCTTAAGGTGTCTGCTAGTACATTTTGATGTTCACTTAATGTGCTCAGTGTCTAGAGATTTACGTTTCATGATATATATATATTAAGTATGGTATAGAAATTGCAGTTGGGGTTCAAACCTTTGCATTGCTGTTTGGCCTTAAAAAGGTTTTTACACTTAACAGTTTTTTTTCTCTAACTACAGAACCGAAAACTTCCATCGAGTTTTAGAAGATGCCAAGTAATATTTTTATAACAATGGCTAAAAACTGTCCCCACTCCATACTTTTTTTAATCCTAAATGTGTGAAGCTATAAATTTTAGTATTTAATGTATAACTGGTCCCTAAAGCACCAAGCAAAACTAACCTGAAAATAATATTTTAGCTAGGAGACAAAGGCAACAACAGCCTTTTGTGGAAAATGCACTGATTTTGCTCTAAAAATAAATGAAAGTTTGCATTCAGAATTTTAACTTCTAAGACCATAATTAGTTCTACTGATACTGAGTCACTGAGTCTTATTAATAAACGTAAATTAATGGTTCATCAGAAAGCCTGTGTGATATGCAAGAGTGTTTCACCTTTGTATCCATTTATTCTTTAAAAGACAAAAAAGCTTGTCTGTATTTGATTCTTCTCTCTAAAACCCATTTCAGTTAGTTTTCCATCTGCTCTGTTCCACCAGAACTTCTGTGGTCGAGATCCCTAATGTACTCTCTAGCTAAATACCCATGGCTTCTCCTCAGTCCTTTTCTTAATTAACTTGACATCTGGCATCACTCCTTCCTGGTAGTCTTCCTGCTTTACCAGCTGCCCTTCTCATTCTCCTTTGCCGATTCTTCCTTACCTCTATGACCTCTTAACATTGGTGTACCCAGACCCTGGTCCTTCACTTCTTCTTTTTCTTCTTTTTCTTTCCACACTTGACCTCTTCTCTTTTCTTGTCTTCTCCTCTTTCCCACTTTAATCCCTGGCTGTTTTATCTAGTCACTTATCTAGCTACCTACTAGACTTCACTAACATGTCCAAAGGGAGAATACACATCCCAGTCTTCCCCCTAGAGTGCCCTTTTTCCTTAGTAAATTTCCATGTCATCCAACTGGAATTCCATTCTTTCAACTGCTCTGTATTTTCTCATGCAGTTTCTCCTTCTGAAAATGACAGTGGGTGTACCTTCTGAACATGTCCAGAATCGTTCTTATTATCTCACCCACAACTTTGGTCTTGGCACCAACATCCCTTACCTAGAGAATTGCAAAGCTTTCTGACTGATCTCCCTGCTTTTGCCCTTGCCCTTCTTCTGTTTTCAGTTATAGTAGGCACAGTGATTTAGGTCAGATTATATTACTACTTTGTCAAAAGCTTTCCATTTGACCCAGAGTACAAGCCTGCCTTCTTCCAGTGGCTTCCCGCTACCTCACTCACTGCACGTACTCTTAACTCTTCCTCAGTCACTCCAGTTGAGCCACTGGCTCTTTCCTGAGATAGCTCCATTACTTATCCTGTTCAGATCTTTCAAATAACATCTTTATTTTGTTTCTCTCCAAAACATCATCTAATGCACTGTGCATTATTTAATGTCTGTTCACACAGATATGTAACTGTCATGACATCAATATTTTTCTTTTTTATTCTTATTCACTGCTATATTCCTATCATCTAGAAAAATACCTGGCATAGAGTAGGAGCTCAGTAAATTGGTTAATGAGTAAATGAAAAGTAACATACTAGTAAAAGTCAAAAAAAAAAACACCAAAAAACCAATATTTGAGAACAGGCCTGAGTATCTGCTTTCATTATCGCAAGATCATTCTTATCAATCACCAGACCACTTTCTCCTGTTGATTAGCTTTGTAAAATTCATTAACCCTTATTTGCCAAGTTATGCTTTAGTTTTTGTGCCACAAGTGGCAATAGTTATAATTATTATATTTCAAAACTCAGTTAATCAAACATAAATTAATTGAGTTAGTGCCAGTCTTTTAATGGCTGTGGTAGATATCATAAAGAAGCGGATGATCAGTGAGCATTCTGTGCAAAATAATGAATGGCCCAATTTAAATGAAGTCTCTGGTTCCTATTTCAGATGTGTGAATGCTTGGGACTCTTGAATTTGTAGTTACTGCTTTTTGTAGGTTTTCAATGCTGAGAATGTGGAGACGGTGGTCATAGCTTTTCACATCTGTACAAACTCATCTTGAACTAGTTCTTATTCCCTATGTGTTTTGTTTAGAATGACTTGGCTTAAAATAATCTCTAAATGATTAGTTCTCTTACAGTATGCATAACCATTTCCAAATGGTGATTATTGGCCGGGTTTGACAATTTCAGAGGCTCTGCACTTTTTAGCTTGAAAAATTTTTGTTGATATCATCACTTACCTTCTTTGCATAGCCATGCCAAAAAGAGGCAGGGGAAGTGAGTTAAGAAAGGAAAGGAAATTAGAAAAATAAGATTTAGAAGACAGATATAATACACAGGAATGATGAAAGATTTCTCTGAAAAATATAGTTCATTAAAGAAATTGTTTTAAGTATTAGGTGTGTTTTCTGTGGGAGGTGATTTAAACTTTTCAACTAGTTTTATACCTACCAGATAGTATATTATTCAGAAGCATGCTCAGTAAGCCAGAAGTTAACAGTGCATCCAAGATTTTCAGTTCTAATCTATACTCAGTGATTATAATGTGACAGGTTTTAATAATAATCTCAGATTCTAGTTGTCCAAGTCATTGCTTCATTTATTGATTTGTTAAAGTCTAGGAACTCCATTCAGAGTGTTACATGTATTGATTCTTGTGTGCTAAAAGACGATAGTTTAAGCTTTTGGGGTTCCTCTTACTTCATTTATTTTTAGTGCAAATCTTTATTCCTTGAAAATTATTACAGTTTTATATAAGAAGTATAAAACTTTCAGATCTTGGCTCCACATGGCATAAGTGCTCAGTGACTTGGGAACCTCTCTGGCCCCAGCTTTTCCATCTGTAAGAAGGGTGTTGGTGGTGGTGGTGTTGTTAAAGAGAAGGGGTTTTGAATGGTATCTGTTTCCTATGTGTTTTGTGAGGTTTAACTTTTGAAACACTTGGCTACCTGCCTTGTTTTTTAAGGTCTTAGTTGTAATTTTTGTGCCTTCATTTCCTCACCTATAAATTGGGGATAATTAATCATTTTTATATAGCATACTGAGAGAGTTAAATAAGTAAATATATGTAAAACACTTAGTGCAGTGACTCTCACATAATAAGCACTACATGTGTTGTGTATTATGCACATTATTTTCTACACATTTCAGTATCTCCCTAATTCTGAGAAGCTTAATATCCTGCCACAGCACAGCTCTTTGTACTTAGGACTTAATGTCTGCCTTCAGCAAGAGTGTACTGCACAATCTATGCTCTTTATAAGAAACTTTTGCACAAATCTGGGACACTCTGCTTCTTAAATTAATTCATTACCAATTAAGAAACATCTTTCTGAGTGGAAGGAATCCAGGGCTAGTACTCTGGTCTCGCTGAACAGCAGCTCACTTCCCCACATGATTTGTGCACAAGTAAAGTAGGATTATGCTCTTGGACTAGGAATGCTTTAGAAACAAAAAATAAAAATCTTTTATATACTTCATATATTGCTGCTTTTTCTTATTCTTCTTTAATTAATAAAAATTAATTATTATATCCAATCTAATTCTCTTAAAGGAGTAAGAGAAATCCTCACTTTTATAGTCAGTGTTTCAGTTTTTATTTCATTGCATATCCCTTTACTATAAATATGTCATTCAATAAACTCCTCTGTCATTCGTGAAAACCTGCATATCAGAGGACACTTTTGTATGTTCCTGCCACTTTTATGGCAGTTTCTGAAGAGCTAATAAAGAATAAAGCTACCATGGCCAGTCAATTCACTCAGTTTTGCTATTCCTATGTATGTATAAGCAGAGAATAAACACTAGATAATAAGATGTAATCAGAATATAGACTTTAATTCGTTCCAATAATATTTAAAAGATTCTTTTTAAAGTAATTCCAAGAGATTACAACATGGGAGTCAGTTAAAAAGCAATCTAGAAAGTTATTTCTATCAGTGTTGAATTATACTTCAGTAATATTTTTATTACTCCCAGGATGATTATTTTTCACCTGAAGCTAATGCTTAAATGATAACATTATTTTTTATTGTTTCTTGAACTTATTTTTCATTCCAAATATTATTGAATATCCCCAGATATTAAAATGTTCTTATATTAAACTTTGCTGGCTAATTCCTTATCGTTCATTAAATAGAAGGCTTGCTTGGTATATTGGTTGTTTTTAAGCCTAGACAATGTGTTCTACAGTTCATTTGCCTTTTATTGATTGTAAACTTTATAGTTGAGCTACTATAAAGAGGGGGGATGGGGCATTAGCCACACGTCAGAATGTTATTTTCTAAAGCATCGTTTGTTAGGAGGCAAGGTGCAGTACTAGTGGCACAACAGCTTTGGTGTCAGAACCTGACTTCACTTGTTGATTGTGTGACTTTCAGCAACTTATCTGAGCCCCAGTTTCTTTATATTTAAGATTAGAATCAGTGTTGTGTGAATTGCATACAACAACATGTGCATAAGTTCCTGTTCTTAGAAAATGCTAGTCTTTGTCTGTATTACCCCATTCTGACTCTTTCCATCTCATCAAATGGAATGGGCAGCAGATGAAACCCAGAGTAGTTATATTTAGCTAGATAACCCCAACATTTAGGCCATTCTCTAGTATTGATAAGAAATCTTTAAGCTTTATAGCAGCAGTCTAGCCATTTATTTTGTGTGATGAAACATATAGTAAAGCAGACACTGCTTCTGCCACAGGTAAAAATGTAACACCGGAAATTATATTCTAATTACTTGCAAATTTTTAAAGAGTACTTTATATTTTTATTTTAAATTCGTAGAATAAATTCATTGAGCTGTATTACTTATAAAATATTTATTATAACAGTGAAAATAATATCTTTAATATTGGTAAGGAAATGAGAAAAGGTGTTTTACAAATGAAGAATATAAACTTCTATCATCATAAAAGTAAAGTAAATGTTAACAGTAAATACTAAAATTCTGATCAGGTCTAAAGATCAGGAAGTACTGCCAAGACAATTCACTAGAAATGTCTATGGGCAGTTTATTTAATATGTTAGCTATATAATTTTATTTTTCGCCAACAGGAGAGCCTGACAAGGAGTTGAATCCTAAGAAGAAGATTTGGGAGCAGATCCAGCCGGATCTGTACACTAATGGAGAGTGTGTGGCTACTTACAAAGGAACTCCCTTTGAGGTGAAAGGGAAGGGAGTGTGTAGGGCTCAAACTATGGCCAACAGTGGAATAAAATAAAATTAAATTAAAATGCTTCAGTTACTAAAATACATTAGAAAGAATTTTAATAACAATAAAAAGAAATACATTTGTCATTTATACCTAAAACCTAAGTGGCTCATTTTTGTGTTATTTCTCTTCTAGACTATTAGTCTTTTACCTTGTGTATGTTGTTTCAATTGATTAGAAAAACACTATATTTTTACCTGTGATTTTTGATCCTTTATAATGTAGGGAGGAAATGTCCTATGTTTTGTGATGATTTATTTTTTATCAGGGATGTTAGCAGATTGTTTTCCCTTTATGCATTTCTAGATGATTTGAACTAGGTTAACATTTAGTTTATTTGTAGGCACATGATGCATGAAATTTCAAGAACTTGGGTTTTTAGTATATAGTGTGTCTGTGTTATAAAGGTCCTCTCTTCAAAAATGACAAGTTAGAATTTGTATAATGTTTATCAACTAGTCATATTGTAATATTGAAAATGAACAACTTTTGATTCCAGAGAGTCAAACATCATAAAAGCTAAGACACGTGACATTTGAACATTATTGCTATTCTTTGCCAAAGCAACCCAAACTTTTTAAAAAGAAATTTCCAACTGCGTTTTGAACTTTTCATTTTATTTAGCAAAGTAATTAGTAATAAACTTTGACTATAAAATATGAACACATTGCAAAGTGTTGCCAGTGTAGTTTCCAATAAATTGACTGGAAAAGCAGCACTCTATTTTTTTCACTCCAGCTGACTTTAAAGATTCCGTGGGTACCTAACAAAACATTGCTTATAGCTTATTATCTTTAGAAGAGCACTTGAGATTGCTATATTTTGCTTTTTCATGAACCATCATATTGTCAAGGTATTAAAGGAACTGGCAGCCAAAACCTTAATATACATTAAGGCATCAGATGCCTATTTCCACTCACCTAGATATTCTAGGAACAATGAAAATTAACTTGAATCATTAGCTTCAATTTTATCAGCCTTGAGATGATGATGACTGCTCATTTGGCCTACCCAAAAAGAGGTGCATCTGTGGAGGTAGAAGTATAGATGTTGTTCAAAAGAAAAGTCTCACAGTCAAAATTCTTGCACCATAGCTCTTTATGCCTCCAAAAATGAGAGGAAAAACAAAATTTTACAACAACCCTACATGCTGAGCTATAAAAGGTACAAGTCAAGTTCATTTATTTAAGGCCATGGAGTTCTTGTTGGCCAGGAAATGATACCATAATAGAATTTGATTATCTTTCTGGAAAACTGAGTATTTATTAACAGAGTATCATTAACACATTTTGATAACTAAGTACAGGTTAATTTCCAAAGTTATTTTGTTCTGCAGATCCATTATTCTTTTGGGAATAAAGAGTGTGACAAAGTCTTTTGTGATTCTGTCTTTTCTAATTTTTCCCAATTATATGAAATTTTTTTAAATAATTTTAATGTAGTTTAAAGGATATTTTAACTACTTGGTTGTTTTATATTTATGTATTCCAAAATAAATATGGAAGAAAATGAAATATTTATTCCAAATTCTTCAAGTTACAAAGAAAACATTACTTAGTGAACTTGTCAATTTAGCCCCATTCAGTCATTATTTATTTATTCATTTTAATCCACGCTGGAGGATATATTTATTGATTTTTAGAGAGAGAGAGAAGTATTCATTGGTTGCTTCCCATATGCACCCAGGGACTGAACCTACAACCTAAGCATTTGCTCATACGAGGCATCTACCCCGCCACCTTTCGGTGCACAGGATGACGCTGCAGCCAACCAAGCCACACTGGCCAGGGCCAGTCATTATTTTTTAAGAAAACTTAATTCTGTTTTATTTGTGTTGCTGGAATGATAGAGCTCTTCTGGAATGAGCAACAACAAAAATGGTATTGTTGGTGAACTGGACATAATGCTTCTGGCTTTTGAATGGTAGTCCTTTAAGGATTGTAAAAATAGGAGATAGCGTTGGGTCACAGACTAAACAGTTGGTGCCTGTTGACATCTATTTACATATGTAAACTAAACCAGAGCAAAAACCTGACCTTATCCCAAGATAATTTCGCATCCAGGTTGACCCACTATCACACATGAATTTTGGGAGTATTAACTTTTCTTATATTTAGAAATTCCATGTGTTCTTTTTGAGATGAGTCATTTTCAGGACATAATGATTTTAATATAAAAATTGGAAAATCCTTTCTGCCCTTCTTCTGTTAAGAACGTTGCTCTACAGTTGTAAGAACTTTAAGTGCCCACCAAACAGATACTTTGTTTTTTATTTTAAGAAATAATGTAAATTCCCATTTAGACTATTTACAAAATACTCAAAGTAATTCACAGAAGTTTAGTAGAAAGTATGTCATCAAGATAGAAGGTATAGAGAGGGCCTCATAGAGCAACGTTAATGAGTTTAACCAGGTCCAGGTGTCTGGGCCTTAGCTTTTCAGGTCCAGAAGTCTGCATTTGTAGGTGATAAGAAATTTATGGAGCCAAGTATTATTGGTTTTGAGGCCAGACTACCCAGATTTCATTCTTAGCTATGTGACTGAACTGCCTATGTGACCTTGTGTAATTGTTCAGCCTCTATATACCTTAAGCCCCTCATCTGCCAATGGGTGTGATAATAGCACTTACTTCATAGAGTTGTGGAGATTGTGTGAGTTAGTACCCAACAGTACTTAAAACAATGCCTGGAATATAATAGATGTATATTACATTGACATACGTTTATGATAGGGATGTTCCTTTCCAGAAAACAAGTATTTTTGAATGTATATCCTGAGAAGTTGAATTCTTGTTGAGAAGATTACTTGATGTATATAAATTGAACAGAGGATCTTAAGGAGTATTACATATAGGTTGGGACCCTGTCTTTCAACAGGCCTGATGCTTCCTCTATACCAGGTGTAATATCTCTTCCTCGCTGGAGATGTTCAGTACTGAAACATTCTCTGCATTCCCACTGATACCCATTTGTTAGATATTTAGATGCTGGCCAGCTCTATTCATCGATGTTCTTTCACTGGTTTAATATTATTGATAAAAGTCTAAAATAGTTTTGCAATATTTTTAGACTAGCAAGACAATGTTTTTAACGTGTGTTTTTAACACAAATAGAAGAAGCCCTTTTCAATTTTTTGGTGGGTAAGGAAGCACCTCATTATTGCTTATAATAGGGGCATTAAAGGGGTAAAAGTATACATCCTTAATTTTCCAGGGAAATTTTATGTTGTACTTTTAAAAGTGTAAAAATATCAGCAGTGCACAACATTAACTGTGTACCTTAGCTATTGTGACATAAGTCTTGGTTCTGGGTGCTGTGCAGTAGCATGGAATCTAAAACTTTATTACCATCATACAAAATAAATTGGTGAGGCAAGTTAATGCAACCCAACTATGAATAATGTTGCAAAGTGCTGTTTTGTGGAGAAAGCTTTACCCTTCAAAATTTTAGTTAAAAAATAACTATGCCATTTTCTCAAAAGTTATGGGGATATATTACTGTCTACTTTCATTAATTTTACTGTAGAATTATTAAGATATTTAATGCTTTATAACCAACGAAGTACTTTCACAAGGCTTACCAATTTCTTAACTCTCTAAAGGTAGACCAGGCATGTAACCCCAAAGAATTAACAGAAAAGTTAAATAAATGGCTTGTGCTAAAATAGAACTAGCTTCTGTTAGAAACGTACATCTTCCAATTCTTAGTAATTTCTGTGCTCTTCTGTATTATAATACACTTTGTTCCATGTCAGTTAAATAGCATATGGTTTCTTTTATTTGAATGAGAAGTTAAACTTTTCTTTCATTTAAACTGTAGGGAAAGATAGTGATTTGAAAAGAACCTAAGCTCTAATAATTCATGTAAGGAGACTAGGGTAGCTTCTTCAGTGGAATATTAAGAGACTCTAAGAGAAGCCATGAGATCACTAAACACTCCTTTGGAGTCTTTGCAATGAGAATTAATCTTTTTTTTTTCTTTTTGCTGCTGAAGTTCTCAGAAGAATTACTTGGCAGAACCAGGCTGCTGCTGCCTCTGCTTCTGCTGGCAGCAGTTGTCTTTCTAGAGGCAAATGCCCTGATTCTTCGAATTGTATACTGTTGTTAAGGACACACTGTTCCTGTAATAACAGTTCATCCCAAATGCTGGCCTGTGAGGGAAGTCACTAAGTTCCAGATAGGGAGGTAGAAAGATGGATGGGTGGGTGGGTGGGTGGATGGATGGATGGATGGATGGATATACAGGCAGGCAAAATAGATATTTTAACCAGAAACAACTCTTTAGTTATATCGCATTTGCAGTACCACTTGGATAATAACCCTGAAATTTGCAATAATAATGAAAAGAAGGATGGTTGCTGGTGCCTAATATGCCTCTATACAAAACTGGATCTTCATGTACCAACTTGTTGGAATGGAAAATAGTGACTTACCCATTCTTTCTTATTGGACTTTTTACAATTATGGTTTTTCCTTTACATAGGTCTTAGTAGAGATAATTCATAGGAGTATAATTACAAAAAAAATTGCAAGAAAGAACCTAAATTAAACAATGAAATAATTGTCGATTTGAAAGTGAGCCATGTGGAATTTCAGAGTGTAAATTAATAACTGTATGTTGTATTATTTCACCCTTATGTATGCCCTTGTGGGGTTTTTTTCCTTCTCTCTTACTCTCACTCCCATCCTAACACACACTATTCCCAATTCTCTGGGTTTTGAGTAAAATATGAGTGTTTTCTGTCTTCATCATCATCGTTTCTTATCTGGCAGGCTGTTATGCTCAGGAACAGCAGCAAAAACAAGCCCAGGGCTCGCTCAGTAATTGAAAGAAAAAAGTAGTCCTTTCTAATGAAGGGGTTAGCTATTCTTGCCTTTCCCATTGTTACATAATGAATGCCTACAGAATTGTTCAAATAGCTATTATTAATGTCTGCTTATTTCTACTGTGGCATTTATGTGACAATCCTTCATGTCAAGACTGCTCTGACAAAGTTTTACATTTGTTTTTGTAAATTGCTTCATTAGAATATCATATATCCCAGTAGAGAAATGGCTCACAATATATGTAGCCCCTTAACTTTTCAGTCCTAAAATTACATATTTGGCTGATACTTGTTAACTTAAAACCTACTCAACTTTTCACACCTGGGGAATTTGGAAAGCATGGTGCATGACTCATCCAGATCAACACAACGGTTTGATTTCTCTTTGAAAAAGATTAATGAAAAATGCAAACTAAAAGTCACTTTTAATAAGTTTAGCAAAAGAGAATGATTTTTTAGAAATAACTTTTTCATAGCCTTCCATTTTCATATGAAAGGATAACATTTTTCTCTTAAAATTGCATGTGCATTGAAAACAAGAATTTCAAATGTTCATGAAAAGAGACTTATTTTTTAAGCTTGAGAATCTTGGAAATAGCAATGCCACTATTAACATTAAATAACAACCTTTTAAAAAGAATTTTGATATGCCTGAAAATCAATAGAATAAGCAAATTTGTTATTAAAATAAGGCAGTATATAGATAAATGTATCAAAAAAAATCTGAGATTGTTAATTGAGGTAGTACATCTAGAAGAATAGACCTGGTATTAGGAATGAATTAATACCCCAAGATGATACATACTTAATGAGACTAACCATAGCTGCACAAAAACATTGTGTATTATCTTCCAGTTCTCTAAGTAAAATATTCAAAACACTTTTTTAAAAGGTTTTATGTCTTTATTTTTAGGGAGAGGAAGGGAGAGAGAGAGATAAACAACAGTTTGTGGTTGCCTCTTGACTGCCCCCTACTGGGGACCTGGCCTGCAACCCAGGCATGTGCCCTGACTGGAAATCAAACCATGACCCTTTGGTTCACAGTCTGGTGCTCAATCCACTGAGCCACACCAGCTAGAGAAAACACTTCTAAATATACATTTGCTTTCATTTTTTAAAATTTATTAGGATGACATTGGTTAATAAGAATATATGTTTCAAGTATACATTTCTGTGATACACAGTTTGTATATTGCATTGTGTGCCTACTGCCCAAAGTCAAATATAAAATTTAGTAGAGAATTTTGTGTTCCAGGTAAGAACAGATAGGATATCTGGAGGGACATGAGGAAAGATTGCAAATTATAGACTCTCATGTCATGATACTGCAGGTGAACTTTTGGGGACATTTATTTTACCTAGATCTAATTCTGGTCTCATGGGTCTTCAGTTGCAAGTTGTAATTATCTCCAGTAATGGTGAGGTTATCCAATGGATACACGGTCGTCCTGAGAAAGCTGTTCAACCCAGCTTCATGTGGAACACAGCACAGATACACACTTCAATGCATCACCATTCTTATGATTCAACTATTCCATTACCAACCAGCAAATCACTTCCCCACATCCACTATGCTGATTATTATGAGGAGCTAGGGTTGCTATTGCAGAATGGTGTATCAAAGAGCATATCTCAAATTTAATTGCCTTTTGGATACTATACTAGAACTCTACCATGCTAGAATTCAGAGTATGTTGGGAAAATACAGTAACAAAAATGATGGTGGGGAGATAAAGAGAAAACAAGGATGAGGACTAGACTTTCCAGTATTTGTATATTAACTTAATAGAGATAATGACAACCTACCAGGTATGGTCAAGGTAAATGGTAAAAGAAGACTTTTAAAACAGAAGGGACAAGATTGGCAAGAAGGGCAAGTCTTAAATTATTTAATTAATTATCTTAGCAAAATCTGGTAATACGGGGAAAGGAAAAGTGTTCCAAAGACCTCTTTCCTAAGGAGGATGGGAAGGAGAAAAGGATAGGGAGGAGATGAGAGTATTCTAGGGTCTTATTTTATAGTTCAGGGGATGATGCAGTGGGGAATGAACGGTCTTGGTTAAGGAAATAGTTGCTACCTTGTTATCAAAGAGTAGAGAAATATGCACTTGATTCTGAATTCAGGAGAAAGGGAATGATCCTTGATGGACATGAATTAGAACTTTCAAATTATGATGAAGAAAAAAGTTAATAGAAACTTTATCATATCAAAACTAAGGAAAAGAAAAAAATGCAAGAAATGCAGTAATGTAAAATAAAGTAAGATGGAGAAATGCCCTGTATGTTTGCATGGAAGGATTTTATACCACAAAAATGTCACATATCATAAAAACACTACAAAAGAAACTTTTGAAATTAGGAAAAAAGATCTGGGAATATATATACAAATGAATGCCTGAAAGTAGCCAGAAAATATTTTGAAAAAAAGAAAAACAAGGGAAACTAGTTCTTTTAGATATTAAGCAATGATATAAAATCATTTAAATTATTATGGTATTGTCAGCACCACAAGTAAAACTGATAATGGAAAGGAATTAAGAATCCAGCATAGATCCAGAAATAAAGGAGATATCTCTCCCTCTCGCTCTCTCTACATATATATATGTGTGTGTGTGTGTGTGTATATATATATACACACACACACACTTTTGTCTACCTTCAGTAGGAACAGGTTGAATTATTTGATAAATAGAGCAAATACAATTGGTTACACTTCTGAAAAGAAATTAAACTAAAATACATAGAAATATATGACTAAGAAATACACTAATTTGGCAAAAATTATTAAAATGAAAGGATAAGTCATAGAATTGAAAAAATGTATCATAAAGCACAGAGGGCTTATTATATACAATATAGAGCTCTTCTAGTTTGCCAGGTGTGAGGTATTTAAGAAAATAGTGTTACATGTTCAAGTTGGTAAGGCAGACCTGATGGTAATTTAGGTCCCTCGAGATACATAGGAACCACAATGGGATTTTACAGTGGGGAGAGAGATTGGGCCCAACTCTCTATACAGTATGGGCAAGAGGGAATTTATAGGCAAGGAGCAGGGTGTGGATCTGTGGATGTACAATTACTAAGAGGAAGCAACAGGGGTCAAGGATAGTCTGGCCAATGGAATCTTTGGAATGGAAGACCTAATGGAATCTTTGCTGAAGCCAGGCCAGGATAATCAGACATCTGAAGAACTTGATCAGAAAAATGAAGATGCAGGATTCTGATTCAACTGATTTAACAGAATTCTTGTTAAAACTATATTTTACGAAGCACAGATGGCCCAAGAGGAGTTTGGGAGCCTGTCTAAAGTTTTGATCAACCAAAGAATCTTTGTGAGAAGTAAGCCAGTAGGAAAATGACAAAAAGGACAAAAATGTGAAGGGCAATTCATAGAAAAGCCAATCTAAATGACCAACGTGCCTATAGAAAAAGATGCTCCAACTCAGCAGTAATCTGGAAAATGAACATGAAGTAAGACATTTATCAAACTGTTGTTAGGGATAGATGTTTTAAGATGAAAACACCAGTTGATGACAGACGATGATAGGGAAAAGATACTCAAATGTTGAAAATGAAGTCTGTTACATTTATGGAGCATGTTCGGCTTCTTGCTTTCAACATTATGTTTGGGCAATTCATTGAAACTGTCACATGCAGTTGTAGTTTGTTCATTCCCATTACCACGTAACATTCCATTGTGTGAAATCCACACTTTGCTTCTCCATGCTACTGTTAATGAATATCTGGGTCATTTCCACAGTGGTTATGTGACTATACACCCTCCCTGGCAGGGTGTTGGGATTCTCATGGTCCACGCCCATTCCCACAAAGGCACTTTTGAAACCAGATTTCTGACATTAAAACCTAATGCTTTTTTCTTTTTATCTAAATTTTATTTAAAGGTAAGAACTTGGTAACAATTTTCTTTTATAAATTCCATGATTCTTTCTAAGACATTTATTCTTTGTTCATTAAGTGAGTTTCCTTTTTTATACTGGAAAATGTATCTGTGCTGAATAGAGTTTAGTAGGGTTAGCAGTGCATCAGAGGCTTCTTGTAAGTATTCATCTTCACTGAAGCCAGCTGCTTCTATTTTTTCTGCATGGGTGAAAAGGATGGCAGTATAATTCTTCCAAGCATGTCCCAGAAGTTCCTGAAAGAGAGAAGATATTAAGTGGCTCTTTCCCTTGGACTATCTTCCTCAAAAAAAGGACAAAGGAGTATTATGGTCCTACATACACAGTCAACAGATCTGCATGGCATTATGGTTCTAAGAGCTGATATGTGTAATGGGAAGTAAAGATGCAGTCAAATAATGCAATCAAATGGAGAGAGGTGTAGGCCTTCTGAAAAACTGCTTTAGTTCTCCATTTTATTTTACTGTTATAACCTATGAATACATATCCTCAAAACTGTGTATCATTAATGCTGCATAAGATATACAGCTGTCCCCTCTTATCTGTGGTTTCACTTTCTGCAGTTTCAGTATCCACAGTTAACCTTAGTCCGAAACGATCCGCCACCATTCACCTCACTTCATGTCATCACGTAGGCACTGTATCACATCACAGCATCACAAGAAAAAGGGCAAGTACAGTACAGTAAGATATTTAGAGAGAGACCACATTCACATTAACTTTTAGACAGTACATTGTTTTAACTGTTCTGTTTTATTCTTAGTTACTGTTGTTAATTTCTTACTAGGCCCAATTTACAAACTAAACTTTATCATAGGTGTGTATGTACAGGAAAAAGCTGTATAGGGTTTGGTACTATGTGTTCCCAAGCATCCACTGGGTGCTGTGGAATGAATGCCCCATCGATAAGGGGGAACTACTACATGTACACTTACAACATTCAGCAATTACTCACATTAGCCTGTCTACCAAAATCTGTTAGAACCATTGAATTCCTATAAGTCAAAGTACCTTGGCCAAGGGAATTGTCATATTTTTTTTTGGTAGGAATGTTGTGTTATTACTGTAGCTAAAAGCATTTTCTAAGGATTTATAATTACATAATCTGGTTACATGTAATGGAAAAGCTAAGATCAAAAACTACATTTGGTGATTTGGAACAACTACAAAATAGTACTGTGATTCTCATCCTCTCACTTCACATGCTTAGAATCCAACAAAGTTTATCGGATGACTTCCTCTAATGTGGCTGAAAAATACTGAAGACGGGCGTTCCATTGTTTAGTGATCTGTGGAAGTTGGTTATGTAATAAATTCTTGTTTGATTGGTGAAAATAAGCTGATAGAAGCACAAGTAACAGCATGTGGCAAATTGTTCATGCAATATGAAAGGCATCTAGAAATAACCATTTAATGTGCTTGAATATTTCCAGTTACATGAAGTCATGACAATATGACAGTAAAATAACATTCCCTTCATTCCAAACACTCCCATTACCAAAATATTTCCAAATCTGCTATCGTTTATAATAGCAAGAAAAACATAAAATGGTAAGGAATACAAACCAAGACCTCTGATAATCAGAAGAGGGCAGTTCAACTGATATTTAGTTCCAGTTATTATGCTAAGCACTTGACATCTTTATCTCTTTTGAAGCTCAACATGATACTTTGTGGGAGATACTATTATTTATCTCTTTTATGATATGGAGAAACTGGTTCATAGAGAATACAAACAGAATGGTATTGTAAACTCTGGTTTTAAAAGATCTTGAAAAAATTGAGAGACAATTTAGAAAACTTTTTAATGTATATAGCAAATATAGGACTAGTATTTATAATATTAAATAATGAAAATAAAGGAAAAAGGGAGGCAGGGAGAGTGAAAGGAAGTAAGGAAAGAAAAAGGGAGAAAGGAAGAATCAGGTCTTGTAAATTTAATAAGAAAATACAGGAATTATGGAACACTATATTTAAGATTAAAAGCATCTTGAGACCATGGTTACCAATGATAACCCATATGGCCTGGCATTTATCAATGATATTTAATTATATATCCTTCGCTAGAACTTGACTCTAAGCTCTTTGAATGCAAGGTTTATGCCTTTATATATAAATCAAAGCCTTTAGCACATTGTAAACTCTCAATATATTTTGGATTAATGTGGAATTTGGACCCCCACCACCATCTTGAAAGGGATTTATTTATTTAGTTAGTTAGTTATATCTACAGCTTCAAAGCTTAATCCTTGGTACATGAATTGTACTTCCTGTAAAGCTTCTCTTTTTTCTGTAGTTCATTTGCATGGATTTGCCTGTAGTCTGCACTCTGTTTTGTATTCAGAGGGACTCTCTCAAGGAATAGGTTCCAAATTGTCTCTCATATCTGTTGAAAATTTGCCTGTTTGCAACACAGACTAATTGTATATGTGCAGTGTAAAATACCCTGCTCGAGAAAATCTAAATTGAAGTTTCAAGGTCAGTACGAGAGAATAATTATTTTAACAGAAAGATTCTAAACTTTACAAAAGGATTTTTCAAAGAGATACTTTAAAAAGATAAATTGTGTGTTTTTGAAAATATAAATTAGCAAAACTTTAACTCACCCAACTTTTAAAGAACATAGGTCTTATGTAAATCTAAGTACACATGTAATGTCTTCGTCTCATTTTGGCCGATCATGACATAACAGAACGAGCACACCTCTTCACAGTTCGTCACATAGTCGGTGTATTACATCACGTCTCTCGTAGGACAGGATTGAGCAGTAAAATAAATCAAAGTTGCTGTTATGGGTTGAACTGTGTCTCGTATGTTGAAGTTCTAACCTCCAGTACCTCAGAATGTGACTTTATTTAGAAATAGAGTTGTTGCAGATGCAACTAGTTGAGATAAGGTCATAGTGTGGGCCTCTAACCCATTATGACTGATGTCCTTATAAACCAGAGAAATTTGGGCAAAGACATGAATACAGGGAGAATGCCGTGTGAACATAAAGATGGTCATCCATAAGGCAAGAAGAGAATCACCGGACAGATCTTTAACGCACAGCCCTTAGAAGGAACTGACCCTGCTAACATCTATTTCAAAATTCAAGCCTCCAAGGCTGAGAGACAATAAATTTCTGTAGTGTAAACTACTCAGCTGGTGGTGCTTACTTTTGACAGCCCTAGCAAATTAGTAAAAGTGGTTGAAAAATTTAATGAAATGCTAAATATAGCAGACCTAGGTTCTAGGAATAAAAAGATTTCTGGGGTCATTTACATGAGAACCACTTTTTCGACTTGCTAAAAATGCATCAGAATATTTAGGGGTGGAACCTGGAAGTTTGAACTGTTAAAAGCATTCTAGGTGATTTATTCCTTCTGCAAATATTCACTGAGGGTCTGCTTCATTCCAGAGGCAAAGTAGAACACAAGACAGATCCATTCTCTGCTTCTCAGTAGTGGGGATTCTTAGAACTGAGGGAGTGGGACAGGGGGAAAATACGATTTACTGTAATTGCAAGTGCTGTGATAGAGGATGTATTGGCACTATAGGGGTAGACATTGAGCCCAGTTTGGGGTGGGGATGGAGAGCGGGGGTAAAGGAAACGGTGAGAAAACTTTCTGGCATGTGATGATGCCTTGAACACAGGGATTAACGAGGGGGTTACTGGGCAGCAAAGACATGCCAAGTAAAGAGCATGATTGAGCCTTATTGGGGATTATATAGTAGTATTGGGATTTTATTTCTACACACCTATCGATCCCTCATGACCCTTGTCTCTGGAAGTTTCTCAGATTTATAGCTGGATCTGGTATTCACCCTGTCTGTTGTAAATGTGTTTATATCGACTGTCATACTATTAAAATGGGAAACACAAGTTAACACATAGCTGCTGCCCTCAGCCCCCTGTTGCTACTACCCCCAGACCCACTTCTCAGCATTGGTTGATGCATGGGCCATTTTGGTCATTAAGTATTTTTAAAACATCACTATATTAAAAATTTGTGCAAAATAAACTTTTAGTAGAGGTGGCCCTTCCTTCAGTTATATATTATTACAGAACTCTTGTTAGTACTTACTGCATTAAATGGTACCACTTTCATAGTAGGTCTTTAGTTCTTGGTTTTCTGTATTGTAACTGTAACATGGTCTATTTGTCTCCAACATATACTTTAAAGCATAATATGATTCAAGAAAAATGCGTTAAAGTACCTGAGGAAAATAGATTGGTAAGCTCAATATCACTTCTGACTCCATGTGTTTAGCCATTTTTACATGCAGATAATTATTTATGAAAAGATACTCGTATCCTGAACTGTGAGAGAAATTGTACTTTTGAATTACTGCCAAGAATAGAAAAGAATGGCTGATTTAGCTTATAATCTTTAGATTGATTTTTGGCTGGAAAAGAGTAGAATATTTGAAAGCAGTGTGTCGCTTGGTATATAGTCATCACGTCAGTGGCCAAACGTGCTCTCTATGGACCCAGAAAAAGAATAATCACAGTTGATTGATACCTCACATAAAAATCCAAGAGCAAGATAAGTTAATGTAAGTGATCTGGTGCTAATAACTTAAACACAGTACTAAGCTAGGTGGAAAATTCACAATCCATCATGAATTCGTTTGGTTTCAGAGTGCTAATGGGTATGAGTCCATCTAGTCCTTTTGGGACAGCTAGTTAGGATATAAACTTTGTTTTCCAGGAATTATATTCATTTTCCCAGGACCTCACCAGCCCTGCCCCATTTGTTTGTGGTTGATGAAATCATAGCATCTGGACTTTTTAGGGGGAAACTTTAAAAAAAGCCAACTATTACATCAACTGAGAAAAAAATTATCATAAAAAAGGAGGACAATAAGGACCATTTTTTATATGTTATGCTATTCCCTGACTCTCATCCCATTTAAAGCCCTGTACTTTCCTTCTCAGAGAGCCAAAGCTGAATGATAAGACCTCCTTAGATCAGATTCAGAGAATTTTCAACTTTAAAGATCATCTGTCCAAGTTGCCTTATTTTCAGATGATGAGATTGAGGCTGCAATGTTAGTGGCTTGGCCGAGGCAACACGGCTGACCGTTGGCAGGCCTGGGCCTGCAGCAGAGGTCCCGGGACCGCCAGGCCCACTCCTTCCCCCTGACCTGGGGTTTCTCACTCTCCTCACTGAGCTAGTGAACTTTCTTCTCATAATTTTCTAAATTAGTAAGGAAGCCCTTATAGTTACAAACCGGGGCCATGGAAGTTTGATTTCACTCTTACTTTGTTTTGAAGCCTAGCATGATAATCCCAAAGAAAATTTATGAATACTATGGCCTAATGTTAGGATCAAATTCCAACAATAAAATCATAATGACCATAGCCAATATATGCCAGTGCCTGAGTTAATTTACTATTGTGTAAATACGGTATTAATCCTGAAGTGAGGCAGTAAACACTATTCTCTGTCCTGATTTATCAATGAAGAGATTGAAGTTTAGAGAAGTTACTTGCCCAAGGTCACAAAGCAAGTAAATAGCTAAGTAGGAACTTGAACACGGGTATAACTTAACTCTAAAACCCATGCTCCTAACCTCTATAATATGTTGCCCATACCTAGTGTTCAGCTGAGTGGTACCCATTGCAACTTGAGTAGTGAGGATAACAATGAAAACAATAATAATAGTAATGTCTGTGAACCTACTGTGAACCTACTCTAAGTCAGGCCCAGTGCAAAGCACATTATAATTGTTAAATATAACCCTCAGAACTCTTTTAACACTGGTAAAATTATCTCCACTTCATAAGTGAGGAACTGAAGCCAAGAAAGTCTTAGTAACATTTATAGTCATATACCCAGAATTATATAGCAAGGCTTATTTTTTAACTAAATTCTATCAAATAACTAAGCTGATGATCTTTGTATTTTCTATCCTTGCATTGGCTTATCTGAGCCTTTTATATACATATCCACCTATAACATCAACAGTCAAGTAGTTCATTCTAAATCAAAAATAAATGTGTAAAGCCTGATTGTTTATAGCAGGGGTATCAAACTCATTTTCATGGGGGGCCACATCAGCCTCACAGTTGCCTTCAAAGGGCTGAAATAATTTTAGGACTGTATAAATGTAACCACTCCTTAACTGTTAGGGAGTTGAAATTACATTCAGCCCTTTGAAGGCAATCGTGAGGCTGACGCAGCCACCAGTGAAAGTGAGTTTGACACCCCTGGTTTACAGTAATAATGCATGATACCATGATAGTGTAAATAATATGGTTGTAGTCAATTTAGGCATTCAGTTCTTAGAGTTTGGCTGCATGCTAGCACTTTCCCTAAGGTGACTTTATTTATCTGCTCTGATCCATTACTTCTGGATTTGTTTAAATATTCAAATGATATTCATATAATATTAAAGTGAACCATTCCCCCTTTTTCCCAATTTTGGAGGGGATGACTCACTGACATATCTCTACCATTTTACTGTAAATTAATAAAGGCCTAATATAAATAAAGAAAAATGGATCATTTAGGGAAATATTTCAGTTGTCACAGCTGAAAACCTATGAAGCATCTGTAAAATATTGGAGCACAAATTGAGATATTCAAAGAGGCAACAGGGAGGTACAGGAAAGAAGAGGTCATTCTCTGGCATGGGTCTCGAACACTCCTTCCATGGCAGGCATCCATGCCCCAGAAAGGGGAGAGAGAAAGGGTGAGGGCAGACGTTCTATTCCCTATTTTGAATCAGCCTGGAAAAAGAAATCCAGGGTGTGTCTGCAACAAGAGGACCTTAACAACTCCTTGCTCCTTCCTAGCAGCTGCTGGTGCTGTTGAATATTCAGACGTTCTGCAGCTGCTCGCAATCTGCGGGTACATCCAGATGGCTGCCACCAGGATACGAGGCACCTTCCGGAAGGAGGTCATAAACAGCCAGCCTGAGCTTAGGCGACCTTCAGTGGGAGATCATGGTGGAAGCCCAAAATAGGACTGCGATGCCTCCCAGGGCTCTAGGTCCCTCAGGATTATGAAGTCTTGGCTGCTGAGTTCTCCTGGGAGAGAACTTATTTATTCTCAAAAAAATTACTATGGATCTGGATTTGGCCCTAGCCCATCTCCTTTCTGCCTTCAACTCCTGAATTGGACACTAACTTATGGAAGGCAGCCTTAAGACGAGGCTGTAGGCCAGATACCATTTAACAAAATCAGACACATGTATGAAACAAATTTAGTTTCATTAAAAAAATTAGGGGATTACAATATTGTCCTATATCCTAAAACTGGAAAAATCTATTTTCAAAATGTATGGTATGTATTTTAAATACCCTTTTTGGCTCAGCATAGGACCAGCATAGAGAAAAATTAGGAGACATATGGAGAGAGTCAGGTTAGTTTTGAGAAATATTTGTTTATGCATTTACTGAATTTATGGAATTACAGCCATCTATAGCTTAAGATAGATGCTTATTTAATAGTAGCTTTAAGTGAACTTTAAAAACTCTTTGAAAACTACACTGATGGAAAGCTTCAGTTTCCCCTCCGCCACTTGATTCCCCACCAGAACTGTTGTTTTACATGCAGGATCGGAGAGTTTGGGAGAGGTTTGTGGGCTTTCTTGGATTCCACATTGTTTCCTAATTGCAATCATCTTCTCTTTTTCTTTGCTTTTGTACAGCATGCCCTTGATTTTTCAGGAGTTGAATGATGAAGATTATTTTTTATACTCTTGTCACCCTAATTTTTTCCACTAGTTTCTTGTGATTACACATGTGGATTTTTTTATTTTTAGACACATGTACAGTTACTGAAAAATACAATATGTGACTGTCATTGAAAACAATCTTATGCCTTTACTAGTTAAAGGGGAAAAGTCTTTCTTTAAAGCAAAGTATATTATCTTCCTAAGTGTAACAGATCCAACATCAGCATGGTCAGAAATGGACCAAGAGTGGCATTTATACAAAATTTTCCTGAATGAAAGATATTGGCTCTCTATTCTTCATGTACTTTACCTATGGAACTTCTAGCAGAGATGAGATCTCTGAGGTTGGTGACTTAACAAGGCCAGAGAGTAAAACTTGTCAAGTCCAGCATTTAAATTTGGGTGGGCCCAGACTAGAGAATCGAGAAATTGAATAGAAAGGAGCAGCTCAATGAGCAGGCTTCAGGAATCATTGGTCATACATGGGCCTTGCTCATATATGTATATATACCATATGCAAGTATTACTGCCTCCTGCTCCGAGCTGTGGCCATACCCAAAACTTCTCCCTGCTTCCCAGCTCCTCTCCTAAACTGGCTGAATAAGCCTCCAACTCAGTGACTTACAACAAATGAACAAACAACAGGATGGGCCACAAGGCAAAGGTGGCATATGTCATTCATGTTCACCCTGAGGTCATTGTGGTCTTCTCAAGGCTGGAACATAGCAGTTTCTGACTGACCCTACAGATTATGAGGCAAACAAAGCATCTGCAATTCCTGATTTTTCCCCATAAATAAAGCATAGAGTGCTCCTGTATATTCATCATGGTATGTCTCAGTGGAGTCTCCTTTCCCCCAGTCAGGCATTACACTACTGAGGCACATAATGCATTGTCTCTTATTTGTTATCAATTTGTTTTTTCCAGACTCTAAGTTTCCTGATGGCAAAACTCATGTAATATTCATCAGTCATTAAGCTGGGTGCGGGTACTCAATTCCGTGTTCAATGACTGAGTGAGTGAACGAACACCCATTTGTCAGTGTACTATGAAATTGTCCCCTTGATGTTACATGGATGCAATTCAGTATTTTAGTTCAGTGGTTCTGAAACTTGACTGTTTTTAAGAAATATATGGAGAGTTTATGCATGTGCATATACATAGGCTCTACTTTTGAGATTCTGTTTCAGAGAACTTGGATGAATCTGCACTTTTAACAAGGAACCAACCCAGTTGGTTCTGATGCAGAGAGATAGTCTGGGGCCACAATTACAAACTCACTCAGGTTTATAGTTCTTAGGGACTCAAGACAGTAAGCCTCTAAAGTTTAATATCTTATTTTTTTTCAATGACCCAGTTGTAAAATGACTGACTAAATTCCTCCAAAGAAAATTGTGAAAGTGACTGGGTGGAAAAATCAAGTAATTTCTACCGAATATCTTGATGTGACCAGCAGTTGTTTTAAATGACTTACTTGAAACTTGCTTTAAATTACTTTAACCAGTTTTTTCCCCAAATTTTATGAGAAAGTTTATTTAGAAAGTCACAGAGGTCAAAAAGATGAGCCAGCTGGTCTGCGTGGGCTCAGAAAACAACTCACAGAGGCAAGAGTGGGCCTTGGAGTTCAGAAAAATGAAGGCAGAGAGAAGGTGCCTAGGGTAAGAAGAGGGGAAAAGGCATGGGTGTGCTCTAGAGAGAGAGAGAGAGAGAGAGCGCTCGCCCTCTTGCCCTGAAAAGAAAAGAGGGCTAGGGAAAGGTGTGGCATGCTCAAGAGAGAGAAAGAAAGTGCCTTTTTAAAAAAGTTTTTATAATTCTTTTCTATTAGGATAATGTCCTCCAGATGATACTAATAGCATTAGTGCAATTGCCTTTTTGCCTTACCTGGATCATCTGGACCGGGGAAGATGCCTCCTGTTCACAGAGAGGCATGTCTGCTCGCTGGACCAGCAGGGCAAGATGGAGACCCTCTTGCCCAAAGTGTTGTTTCAGGGCCTCCTTGACCTCTTGTTTCACGTGATTCTTGCTCAGCTTGCTGTGAGGATACCCTGGAGTGTCCAACACCTGGACCTGCAGGGATATCTCTTGCCCTCCTCGGCGCATGAAACTACGGAGGTGACAACTGCGGCCCAGATGACAATTTTTGGTCACAGAACATGGAGCAAAGGTGCTTTGGAAGTCAGTGCTTCCCAGAAGAATGTTTCCAGCAGAACTTTTCCCACTCTGAGTCAAGCCAAAGAGGGCCAAGTTGATGACCACCTTGTTGGAGTCTGTCATGGCTGGGAATAAACAAAAGCTCAGCATAAACAAGTAGGCTTCTATGCTCACCCCATCTAAAGCTTCTTACCTGGCCTGGAGCACCCCAGTTGTAACCTTTAATTCACTTTCCCCTCATTCATAGTAACTACAGGGTGGAGGAGTAATTCACTAAAGTGGACACACCCCAGTGAGGAGGGAAGATTCAAATAATATTAGTAGTTTGTAATGGGAGAGGAGAGGGAAGTCAAATACAGATAAGAAAGGGAGGAGGGAGCAAGAATTACAGGACAATGAGAGAAGAAAATTATATAAAGATCATGCAAACCATATTAAGTCATCCGTGTGGTAGGTGAGGTGGTTTAGGAATGGGTGCTGAAGTCCCTCAGTTCAAAGCTAGTAGCAGTATTTGAAAACCATTCATTCTTGGAGGAGAAGTAGGAACAGTGGGATAAACAGCCCTTCTTGCCTTTAAACCCCATCCCCCACCTTCCCACCTTCCCACTGCTTGTCTACACCTGCAGCATCTGTGAACTAATCATCTTTCCTGACTTCCCAGATGCTTCTCTCCTATGGAACATGAATAATGTTAAAGAAGCCTTCTGTTTCTATTTAATAACTTTTTATAGCCAGGCAACTTTCTAATAAAAATGAGAACTACTTATAATTTCTGTAATGAAATAATCAATAAATCATTTCCATGGCCCACCATGGTAAAAATTATTGGTTCCTTAATAAGAAAGTCCAACATATTGTGCAGCTCAGTTATGAGGATGGAGAACTTTCCGAGACTCTATTCCATTTGCACCACCCATTAACTGTAATTAATCTCTTGTGCAGAATATAAGCCCCTTGTAGCATTATACAGTCATCTTTCTTTTTCATTAGATCAATAAGGCAATGCTACTGGCCAAATACTAAAAGAACTCACTACTGATTAAGGAATAAAGGCATTTCCTATTGCATATTTATTATTTTTGCTTATAACTTATACTTCTCTTATAGAGTTTCTATATTTTATATATATATAGAAAGTACCTTGGGCCTTTCTTGTCCTCTAATGCCCCTGACTCCGGTCTACTCAGAGCCTAACATGAAGGCATCTCAAACCCCCATACAAAATATACTCATTTCTTGGATCCCTCGTGGTGACCCTAGCTTAATGCTCTCATTCATCTGTGTTGGCTGTAATTTAATCACTCAGAATTTTTTTTTACTCCTGAACCAGATACATGATTTTTAAAAAGAAAAAAATTAATTATGGAATCCCAACCTGGTTGCTGTATGTCACGTACCGTTTCCAATGTTGAAAATGCTTTCCACAAAGACTTCCCTCAAGCTGGTGCAGGTGTTCTTTGGTATGAACTTTAGCCTTTTAACATTATTATTGTACCACTGTGGGGCTGATACTGTGTGTATTCTATTTAGTTAATCGGTTACCAGTATCTTCTCTATAAATGATTAATTGTCTTTCTCTAATCAGCACTGACTTTCATGTCACCTGACAGACCTGTAATCTCAATAGGTACTTCCTGAAACTTCTTTAGCCAGGATTAAATTCTTTGTTTTAGGACATTGCTAATATTAACAATTTATCTACAGCATGAAGTAATGCAATATTGCTAAGTGTTAAAGAGAGACTAAGCATTCAAAAGCAATCATTATATTTTCCATTGTAATTGATGAATACCATATTATCATGTTTTTGAAAATTTCAACAAATAGATATGTAATATATGTGAAATAAATAGATATTTACTTTATAAGAGCAGTAAGTTCATAAATTTAAAAATACTTTAAGAAAACTCTTGACTATTTCCATATAATTGAAATGTATTATTTTATCCAGATTGATGCAATTACTAGAGTAATCACATGAAGTTTTCTTATCAATTAATGATATTCAATGAGTACAATTAACTGTAACTTGAGGCCAAATAAATTTTTATTAAAATAGGGGCTTTATGTTGTTCGTGAAAGCTTAAATTTGTTTTTTCTGCTTCTTAGTATATAACCCATACTTTTTCCAAAATACTTTCCTGTGTGTAAGATGTAAAAACCTTCATATGGTTATACTGTTTCATCTTCTCCTGTACTCCTCAAAAGGTCTGTGAAATGTGTGTTCTGTGTGAAGGAAGCTTGGAGACATCTGGAATGCCTTATGACTTCATGGGCAGAACGTTAGAAAGACTTCTTCCTGTGCAAAAATGACAAGGAAAACACGAGCTGAATGCACTCATCTGACAAGCACATTTGGCTCTCTCGAGTGAAGCAGAAAAAACCTCCCCCAGGTGGCAGTAGCAGCCTGTTTCGTGACAAGTGATTTTGAACCAGAATTTATTTTCATTTTCTTCCTGAAACCATAAACTGACATTCTTCAACTAGGCAATGTGCAGCAACACGTAACACTTGTGTGGAACGGTCTTTTGAATGAAGGCAAAACTGAGCTTTCTTCCCTATGTCCTGTATAGAAAGTGGCACATGGACAAGGTTCTTAGTTTTTGAACCTTCCAGTTTGAAATTATAGTTTAAATCATTTGCTGATTGCAACATTTGACCCTTTAAAAAACAGAGTTCAGGGTTCATATGTGTGGTCAAAATTCCAATGAATCTGCAAAATTTAAAAAGAATTTTCAAGAAGTTTAATGGAGATTTTAGATTTGAGTCCACTTAGGGGTCGTATAGTAAGAGTAATGTATTAGTATTAGATGATATTAAATTGTTTAGGTTAATAATTTTTGAATCAGAGTGAAAACAACAACTTGAAAAACTACCTCACTCTCTTAAGTAACTTGGCTAAATTAAAGTAGCAGGGATCAAACTGTGTAACTTTAACAGCTGACTCCACGATTTCTCTGAGAAAGAGAACTGCCTCTGTTTGAGGACAGTTTGATTAGCCATTTAAGGTGGAAAAGGTATCCTGGGAGCAGGAGCCACATTCACATAAAGTGATAGCCTGACTGTTGGAGATGGGGGAAAGGACAAGAAAAGAATAGAGAAGATCATCAGGGCGTATAGGGGTAGGAGGGAGGGAGGGAAGGGAGGGAAAAGGAGAGAGGAGCCAGAGAAGGAGGGAAGGTGGGAAGAAGAAGAGGAGGAGATCTCTCACTTGTGAAAATGGCTAAGGGAGTATCTTAGAGCAGAGATAGCTAATGCACAATTTGAAGATTTTTGCACTGCTGAGATGTAAAGTCAGCCACATTCAGTTACTTTGTATGAAGATAAATTTTTATTTTTGTTTTGTTTTTGAATATTGTTGTATTTTACTTTGATTTTATGTGGTGGAAATTAATGGAAAGACCCAAGTCCACCCTAGATTAGCACAGGACAGTTATAACAAAAGGTGGAGATTGTGAAATGGTTTCTGAATTGAAATAAGTCAGGAGGGGCAGGAGGTTGAAGCTGGAAGGACACTAGTCCTAAGAATCTGCAAGAATCTTTGGGAGTATGTTCGACTTCATAATATATGAAATGACATATTATGTGACATGAGTAAAAGTTATATTCAGATTTTACATACACACACACATTATATTAGTTTTTTAGGAGCCATAACAAGTATCATAGACTTAGAGGCTTAAACAACAGAAATTAATATTCTCAGAGTTCTGGAGGCTAGAAGTCTGAAGTTAGGTGTAGTCGTTTCTCCTGAGGACTTTCTCCTTGGCTTGTCAATGGCTAACTTCTTCCTATGTCTTCCCATGGTCCTTCCTCTGTGTATCTGTGTCCACATTTCCTTTTTTTATAAGGACACCAGTCATATTCGGTTAGGACCCATCCTAATGGCCTCACTTTGACCTAATTACCTCTTTAAAGGCCCCGTCTCCCAATATAGTCCCATTCTGCGGTCCTAGAGGTTAGAACTTCAACATATAAATTGTAGAGAGATGCACTTCAGCCCATAACACACACATTTTGTGTGTGTCTATACATGATTATATAAATTATATGTCATTATACTCAGTAAAATTCTAATTTGATACTTCATTAAATTGGGTTTTAGTAGAGATAGTGCTTGACACAGTCATTTGGTTTAAGACAAACTCATGATTTTAGACAAATTCCAATTTGCATTGGCTTGAAATGTGAATCACTTCCTAATATGTTATCTTTTCATCTTTTCATAATAAAGAAGAACCTTAGAGTAATAATGGAAATCTTTATTTATGATGTCTAACTTACCTTAACCTTGGCCAACACTGCCCCAAGTCAAGGGGAACACAGATAAACTGGCTGAAGTTGTTGGTGATTGGACTGGCTCCGTCTGAGGTGGTCTTAGAATAAGATATCAGGTCTCACCTTTCAAAAATTTTAGAGAACACTGGCCAGCAGATTAAACTTGGGAGACAGATGGTCCTAATTTGAACACAGTGTAAAAGTTCTCAGAGCAATGAAGAATGCCCATGTCTGAGCAGCAATGTCGATGGGAATGGGAAACCAATTCAAACTTGGTTGTTTCATATTTTACAGACTCTACCTGTCCCAACTGCACATAGGAACACTTATGATGTTTTATGAGGCTCTAGCTGTTTTTTGTTTATTTGCTTTTTTGTTTTCCTTCTGAGTTTTTCTAATTAATTTTTAGAGTTATAAGTGAAATATATATTTCAATGCACTTAGAAAATTCAGAAAAGAATAGAAAGGAAAATAGAATCACTTTTCTATCTTTAATACCTGGGGCCCATGAGGCAAGGGTCCTCAAGGGCACTGACAATATATTTCTTTTTTCAGACTACACATTTCCTCCCCCTATTTACTTAAGAATCACTACAGTAATGAGGGGCATTACTAATGGGATTATGTTTACTGCATGAACCATGTCAAGTCAAGAGTAATTGTTGGCAATCAGGATATGGTATTTTTTTAACATTTTTTAAAGGATTTACTTATTTATTTATAGAGAGGGGAAGGGAGGGAGAAAGACAGGGAGAGAAATATCAATGTGTGATTGTCTCTCAAGTGCCCTCTCCTGGGGGCTTGGCCTGCAACCCAGGCATGTACCCTGACTGGGAATCAAACCAGCGACCCTTTGGTTCAAAGTCTGGCACTCCATCTACTGAGCCACACGAGTCAGAGCAGAGTATAATAATTTGTTATGCAACTGCATTTAATTTGCTAAGATTTATTTATAATTTTAGCAACTTTATTAATTTGGAGATTGGTTTATAGCTTTCAATTTTTATCCTATATCAGGTTTTCAGATCAGGAATATGCTGACCTCTTAAAATGAATAGAAAAATTTATTTCTTCTATGGTGCTTCATAATAATTTAGATACCTTGGCAGTTACATATCCTTAGAAAGTTTGAAGAAACTTACATTAAAAAGCTAGGCCCAGAAACTTTCTGGAAGTCATTCTAGAATAACTTTACAAATTTCTGCTGTGGTAATTTGACTCTTCTGGTGCCAATTTTAGTGATTTACAATATAATCAATGCACACTTTACTCATATTTAAAATTTTCTAAGTATAATCACCTCTATTTCTGGCACTAGATTCCTCTACTTATTCTGACTTACGTAGGGCTTGGCTTTATACGAAATCTGTCTAGAAGATATCATACTTACATAGGGTTTGGCATTATATGAAGTCTGTCCAGAAGATACCCAGCCATGTAAGGAAAAATAGAGACATTTATTGAAGACAATACAAGAAACATTGTACATGGGACAATGACACCTCAGTTCCCTTCAAAGTAAGTAGCTTGGGACCTCACACAGTTCTGCCAATCACCATCAGCTGCACTGTCATATTTTCCTGAATCTTATCAAGCTCTGAAATCTCTTCCCTTTCAAAGGTGACTTTAGTTTTGGGAAAAGCCAGAAGCCACTGGGCACCAAATCTGGACTATAGGGGGACTGAGTCACCTGGGTGATTTGATGTTTCACAAAAAACTCTGCATGAGATGTGATGCATGAGCAGGCGCGTTGTCGGGATGAAGATGCCAATCACCAGTTGCTAGTAGCTGCGGCCTTATGAATCATCCAAATAGTTTCTGTGAAAGAATGTTCAAACTTAATGCAAAATTTAATGCAGGTTCATTGCTCTACTCTCTTAGTCATTTTGAATGTGATGGCCACACAGCACACATGCTCACTCAATGGTGTCTACTGCCCCCACTGAAGTTGTCATTGTTCACACATGCACATTCCAGTCCACTCTCCTTGGCTGCCAGGTTACATTGACATTCTGCAAACTGTTCTCATTATATTAACAATGGCTTGACTTTTTCCAGGCAGACTTTGCATACTTAATAAATGCTGGCATGTCCACATGTGTATATGCAATTAATTTCTGCATTTTTATAGTTTGAAGTGGATTTCCATAAACATAAACAAAATTTACAACCGGTGCCTCTAGGTCATAATGATTTGATGTCTGAAACTAAATTTCTGACCACC